CACTGGATGCAGGGACCCAAGAACTTGAGTCATCCTCCATTGCTTCCCTAAGTGCATTAGCAGGGAGCTGGATGGGAGTGGAGCAGCTGGGACTTGAACTAACACGCCCATATGGGATGCCAGGATCATAAGCAGCTACGCTGCAATGCCAGCCCCAATTCTGCCCTCTTCCTCACAGAGGACTTCTTGATTTCTCAGATCAAGCACAATTATATATATATGATGTTATCTCCAAGTCCTGTGTAAGACATCTCTGTACCCTGGGCTTCCTGCTTTAGAAGTTACCATGAGGGGTTTCTAAAAGTTCATGGAAGATGCATCTTATAAACTGCAAAGATTTCATGTTTTTTGGACTACAAAGTAAACTTATCTTTTGGTTTTAAAAAAATTTTTTAAAGATTTATTTATTTTTATTACAAAGTCAGATATACAGAGAGGAGAGACAGAGAGAAAGATCTTCTGTCCTATGATTCACTCCCTAACTGAGCACAACAGCTGCTGCTGTGCCGATCCGAAGCCAGGAGCCAGAAACTTCCTCCAGGTCTCCCACGTGGAGTGCAGGGTCCCAAAGCTTTGGGCCATCATTGACTGCTTTCCCAGGCCACAAGCAGAGAGCTGGATGGGAAGTGGAGCTGCTGGGATTAGAACCTGCACCCATAAGGGATCCTGGCGCATTCAAGGTGAGGACTTTAGCCGCTAGGCCACGCCGCCAGGCCCATTAAACTTATCTTTTGATTTCATTTTTCCTTGATCCTTCTGAATCCAGAAAAGAAGTCAAGCCTACAAGAGGTCACTTGGAGTTTGGCACTTGGTGCTGGCATAGAGCAGCCTGTAACCCTGAGCACATTCTTTTAAAAAATATTTAAAGGTGAGACACAGAAAGAGACAAGGAAAGAGATTTTCCATACGCTGACATGCATCCAAAATGGCCACACTAGCCAGTGTTGGGTTGGGATGAAGCCGGCAGCCAGAACTCCATTTGGGTTTCCCACATAAGAGGCAGGGGCCTAAGTGCCTGGGCCATCGTCCACTGATTTCTCAGGCACATTAGCAGAAGCAGAGCAGTCAGTTTTGATCTGCTGCTCATCTGGGTTGCTGACGCTGCAAGCAATGGCTTAATTTGTTATGCAACAACACAAGCCTCCTGAATACGTTCTTGAGACTACAAGTAATTCATGCCCCAGGAAAAGTCTTCTCTGTGTCTTACCCCTATGTCTCATTTACTCAGATTGGATGGGGCTAGTGCAGTGGTTCAACAGGTTAATTCTCTACCTACAAGTGTCACCATTCCGTGTGGGTGCCAGTTCGTGTCCCAGCTGCTCAACTCCCATCTGGCTCCTTGCTTATCACCTGTGAAAGCAGTGAAGGATGGCTCAAGTCCTTGGATCTCTACACCCACGTGGGAGGCCCACGTGGGATCAGCTCAGCTCCAGCCATTGAGGTCATCTGGTTCTTGCTATCTGTCTTTCCTTCTCTGTGTAATCCTGCTTTTCAAATAAAAATAAAGTAAATCTTTAAAAAAATTGGTAAGAAGGAGTGTGTGGACATTTGGTGCAGCAATTAAGATGCTGCTTGAGATGCCTGGTTTGAGAACCAACTCTGCTTCAGATTCTAGCTTCCTGCTAATGTGTACCTTGGAAGGCAGTAGGTGATGGCTCAAGTACTTGGGTCCCTACCACCCATGTGGGAGACCCGGATGGAGTTCTGGACTCCAGCCTTTGTCCGGCCCCAGCTATTGTGGGCATTTGGGGAGTGAATAAGCAGATGGAACTTCTCCATCTCTGCATTTCAAAGAAATAAAAGTAGTGTATGCTTATCGTGTACAACATGGTTTGAAATGCATACTAGGAGCCTGGGACATTTCACAGGTTACCACATTGGCCTCACTCAGGGGCTGTGCCCATCTTCTCTGTATTAGTCCGTTTCATGTGCTGTAGAAGCAAGCATCCATAGTTCTTCAGAAAGACAGGTGACTGTGTCTTAGTGTCCTGGGGTTTGTGGGTTGTGTCACTGTCAGCTTTGCTTTGCTGGAAAATAAAATGAGTTTGATAAGGCCTCCCTCTTCCAAGACTACAAGACTACCAGAGTTGTGTGTGACATGGTATGGCCAAGCAGTGCCAAGTGTCCATTTTCTCACTTATCTCCAAGTTCTAAGGTCTGGTTTCAGAGAGCTCCAGAAATTAGTGTCATTTTTGTAATATTAGTGCCTATGGTCTGGACACTAGAATTACAAATAGTCTGATTTTTGTATATATATATGTGCATATATATATTTAGATTTTTTATATATATGCATATATACATATAGATAGATAGATTTAGATTTTTATTTTCAAGGCAGAGTTATAGAGAGAAAAAGAGATAGATAACTGGATAGATAGACTGATCCATCCTCCATCTTCTGGCTCACTCCCCAAATGGGTACGATGGCTGAAGCTCTATCAATCCAAAGCCAGAAGCCAGGAACTTTTGCATCTCCCATGTAGACACAGGGGCCCAAAGAGTTGGGCCATCCTCTACTGCCTTCTGTAGCAGGGAGCTGAACTGGAAGTGGAGTAGCTGGGACTTGAACCACTGCCCATATGGGATGCCATGCAGTAAGGAGGAGGATTAGAGGATTAGCCAGTTGAGCTATTGTACCAGCCCCCACTGAAGCTCTTTCAAGATGGACTTGGGTAGTAGTAGATGGCTGGGGAAATATCCCTGAGTCATTGCCCCATCTTGCCTAGGGACTTTGGGCTCACACCACTCCAGAGTGGCCCTTTAAGAATCGTTATTAAGCTGGTGCCATGCCACAGCGGATTAAGCTGCTATTTGCAATGCTGGCATCCCATATGAACACCAGTTTGAGTGTCAACTGCTCCATTTCCAATCTAGCTCCCTGCCAATGGTCTGAGAAAGCAGTGGAAGATGTCCCCAAGTACTTGGGTCCCTGCCATCCACATGGGAGATCTAAATGAAGCTCATGGCTTTAACCTGACCCATCCCTAGCTGTTGTGGCCATTAGGATAGTGAGCCAGCAAGTGAAAGATATCTCTGTCTTTCACTGTAACTCTGCTTTACAAATTAACAAAACAAAACAAAACAAAAAACCCTGTGTCACCTTGGGTAAATGACTTTCTTGAGTCTCCCTTTTTCCTTCAGTATAAATAGCACAGGCCTTGGCTTTAGTTACACTCTGCCCTATGACCTATGACCTGTATCCTGTATGATCTTAGACAACCTTGGAGTAAATTACCTTTGGCAGTAACACCTTACAGTTGTTGTAGTGGTCTGTTTTCTGTTGCTAATCACAGGACAGATGGGGTAAATTGTAAAGAAAAGTTTCTTCTGGCTCATGGTTCTGGAGGGTCAAAGGTCATGTGTGAGAGAGTAGTCTGGGTGCAAGGGCATTGGTTTGGCTTCCAGTGATAGCCTGCTTACTGGCAGGGTCCTGAGGTGGCATTGATGTCACATGGCAAGAGACAAGGGGTGTACTTGTTTCCTTCTTAAAAACTACCATCACAATGACATCACATCACCCTAATGACTTCTTAACCCCATGTGGTGTCCCATTGACATGACATTGAATCAGGTTTGCAACAGGTTAATTCCTGGAGACACATCTGTTGCTGTGGGGGATAAATACAGTAATTGATGGGATGCCACTTTCACTGTTCATTTACAATGTGACAACTGAGAAGCAGGGAGTTTAGGACCAGACCCTGTGGGGCTGGGGTGGGAGAGCGACCCCTCCCCTGTGAGTCAGGGAGCAGTAGCCCCTCCCCAAGGTCCCTGGGGGCTCAGCTGAGGTCAGGCTTCTGAAAGCACTTTGCTCAGCTCTGCAGGCGCTGTGGTGAGGCTGTGGTCTCTGCTTGCTGAAAACAAAGGAGTGAGAGAGGAAAAGAATGTGAATCTTAGGGGGTGTAGCAACAAAACTTAAATAATCCCCACGCTGTGGTTTTAACACTGCTCAGCCTGTGCTACCAGGAGGAGGGAGGTACCGGGACTGGGGGCGTGAGAAGGGCAAGGGCACTGGGAAGAGAGGGAAAGGAGGCCTGATGCTGTGACACCCCAGAGAGGCATGGAAGGTCCTTGCCTGATGAGCCGGGGAAGGGAGCCACTTCCCTCTCTCTTCTCTCCCTCTGTGACCCCAACTGCCTTGTGATTCCCAAAGCACAGCTCCTATTCCTCAGCCAAGAAATGCTGCCTTCCAGTGCCCCCTACTCAGCAACTACTGAGCAGGCTCTAACACACTCAGGTTGGAGTGGAGAGAAAAAGGACCAGAGCCTGGGCTGGTCCCATGGCTCAATGGGCTAATCCTCCACCCTGTGGCACCAGTATCCCATACGTGCATCAGTTCATTTTGTGGCTGCTCCACTTCCCATCCAGCTCCCTGCCTGTGGCCTAGAAAAAGCAGCAGAGGAAAGCCCAAGCCCTTGGGACCCTGTATCCACATGGGAGATGCAGAAGAGGCTCCTGGCTACCAACTTCAGCTCAACTCAGCTCTAGGTCATTTGGGGGAATGAATTAGTGGATGGAAGATTTTTCTCTCCTTCTCTCTGTAAATCTGCCTTTCAAATAAAAAGAAAATAAATCTTAAAAAGGAAAGGAGACCTTCTGTCCCACAGTGAAGGACAGCTGGCCCCTTCTCCCTCTGCTAGCCAAGCCAGAGCTCCTCAAATCATGCCCCTCTCCCCTCATCTCCTCCATGTTCCCTTGATCATTGTGAACCAGGATATGATGCCAGGGCTAGGCTCCCCAGACAGTGTCCTTCCCTTGGGAGCACAGCCTGTAGGATATGCCAGGGAAATGCTTCTTGGGCCAGTTCTTCTGCAATGGGGCAGCAGCAGCAGGTGGCAGAAACTGGGCAGGGGAGCCAGCAAAGCTCGGGGAGCCTCAGGGATGATTCCAAGGGCACAGGCTTTCTTCTCCAGGCCTAAACTTCTGGAACCAGAGTTCTGAGGGTCCTCCAAAGCTCCGGTTTCTCAGTTTTACCCCTCAGAGACTGGCTTGTGGTGCCCAGATTCCTTTATTTGACCAATGGTAGCATCATAGGTTGATCAGATCTTGTCCAGGTGCAGTGTAAAGGGCAAGGGCAAGACAGGAGAGATGGAGAGACAGCTCTGAGCCTGAGAACAGAAGGGACAAATAAGAAAGGAAACTGCAGTGAGAAGAAATATATTAGCCCTGGGACAGGTGTCCCAGCAAGGACACCCTCGGTTAGACACTGCTATCAGGTGAAGCCTACTTGAGGTTTTTCCAATCTGCATTTGTTAGGTCAGACCCAGAGGGTGGAGCAGTTCAACAACCAAAGTAAGATGGGCAAAGCCAAGAGCTCCTGAGCTAGGAGGAACAAGAAGGCAGTGAGTGCCAGTGACGCACACTCTGGGAGGATGGACAAGCCAGATTTCTGCAGATCTTTTACCTTCTGGCCCTATTTCTGGGTAAACCTAGCAGTGAGCAAGGCAAGGGATTGGGGTAATGTCTTAAAATGAAATTTTGACCAAAAGCTTCACAATCATCAGCTTTCTCCCTTGGGTTAGTCCTGGCCCAGGGCTGGGCATCCCTGGCCCAGCTGGCTCCTTGCCCTCACAGTTCATGCAGGTGATGAGCTGGTTTCTTGTATGAGTCAGCGTTCTGGATCAGCTCAAAGATGAATTTCACCTGGGTCTCATAGTCTTGGACTGAGATTTTCTCGTTGAATCCGTGGATGCTGAGGGAAAGAGATGCATTTAAGTATGTGAAGGAAGGCCACGTGCTGTATAACAAAGGACTTAATACAGAGCATTCTCCATACTCTTTTCACCATCCCCTTATACTCTTGGCTTTTGGCATTTTGCTGTAGAACGTGGGCAAGGTGGGAGAGGCCATTTGTGAAGTTACATATGACATGTGGGCCATCACGGCAAAGAGCAGTGGGTTGGATACCAGAAAGCTGTGATTCTAAATCTTTCTTAGGACAGAGTTCTCAGCCAGACTTAACTCTAAGCCAGTTCTCCACCTGTCACCTTCTAGAAAAGGCAGCCATTCAAAGAACCTGTGTGGTTCTCTGCTTCCCCTGAGAACTTTCCTATTAGGTTTCACACCCACCAACCTGCGCCCCACCGCACGGCACAACACAACCAGCACAATTAAATAGCAATGCAACCACAGGTGGAGTACCAAAGGTGGGAAGCAGTAAAGAGTAGTTCCCCAACACCCTTCCATTGAAAATCCCTCTTCTGAAACATTTTCAGATGTTTGCATTCTGTTTACATGTGATTCATGGCAGGCAGATGCTAGTGGTCTGGCTGTGATAAGTGATCGGGAGCCGGGAGGAAGTGATCTTTCCAAGCCTTGGGGTTAACAAAGGTCTGAAGACATCACCGAACAGTCATTTACCCACCACACATTCCACTGTTGGGCATGTCTTGGGTTTCCCCCGTGCCTCCTTCTGAGAAGTCAAACACATGTGCTCACTTTTTACTTCCTGTGTGCTTATGTTCCAGAGAAGGCTGCAGGGTGTCCTCATGCGGGAAGTGCAGAAACATGAGTCGCACTGAATGAGCACTCTCCCAGAGCGATCAAGGCTGGGAGACCTCCCTGAAGGTCCTGCTTCTCCAAGGTTCTCCCCAGTCACCCGATTATCTCCTTTGAGGAGCAGGGTCAACTCCCACAAATGCTGGGTGGTGGCAAGACTCTGGCAATGGGGACACCTGGCTGGCTTGATTTCACAGGGTCTCACACTGGATGACTAAATCCTGGCATTCCTCTACTGTGTGCAGTATCAGGAGTGTGAGTAGGGTAGGGGCTGGTGGAAGAGGGGACGTCAGACGCATCTCCTCTTTGCTGCCCAGACCTGTTCCACTCACCCACTGAAGCCCTGGGGCTGAAGACGGACAGGGTTGAAGCGGTAGATGCTGGTGGTAAGGTTTGTGTAGTGTCGGCTATCTGTGTTGCCAATACAAATGCCTGGAGAGGGAAGGATCAGGGAAAGGGGACTTAATGCAAGCAAACTAAGGAGGTGGAATGGCTGGAGAATCAGGAGCCCAAGGGCTGTGGCTATGAGATCTATCTATGTAAATATATATATATATCATATACATGTAATATATCATTATATACAATACACATAATTACATTTATTATTTATATTTTATGTTTTATTACATCATAATAAATATAATATACAATATGTTTAATATAATCCATTATATTATATAACATTAATATTATTTATATATTAACATTAATTATAACTAATCATATAACATTATACTTAATACATAATATATAATTAATATATAAGAATAACATGTTAAAATATATATTATATAATTACATGTAATATATATATATTATTTATTTATTTATTCTTATCAACACGTTACAAAAATATCCTTTCAACTGAAAACACGAACTTTGCCCCAGGGTCCCTGGTGAACTAATTCTCAAATGGCCCAAAGCTAAGCGTCCTTTCTCCATGACAACCACAGACCACCAATGATATTCATTTCACACCCATGGCTACAGCCTTGTGCTAGTTTGGAACCCACAAATCTAGATATTATCTCTTCATTGTTTGATGTTTATACCTTATTACCTCTGGGGATGTCACTGCTGTAGAATGCAATTCTTTCTAAGTGGAACACAATTTCCTGTTATTCTCATCCTCTGAACGATGCCCCCATCTTCCAAGCATCTGATCTAGGGCTGGGAAAGTCCCAGGACATTCTCCTGTCCCCTGCTCGACCCCAAGGCAGTAGCACGTCACCCAGTTGGGGCTGGGACACGTCCCTGGTAGACGTGTTTCTTTCAGAAATGGCATTTTGGAGTTCAAGTGCAGTCGGATGATCTGAGATGGAAATTTGTGTTTTGTTCTTTTTCTCTCCTGGTTTTGAATGGGTAGCCAGGCTGTTCACAAATCCTTGCTTTGTGGGTTTCTGCCAATTGATTTCTTCCCTTTTCCGTTTTTTTTTTTTTTTTTTCTTTTAAGGTATATTTATTTGTTTGAAATGCAGAGCAATAAGAAGGGCAAAAGATTTTCCATCTACTAGTTTATTCCTTAAATGTCTACAACAGCCACATATGGGTTAGGCCAAAACCAAGAACCAGGAACCCCATTTGGGTCTCCAGTGCCCAAGTAATCTAGTCATCATCCATTGTCTTCCTGGGTGCATTTGCAGGGAGCTGGATCAAAAATGGAGCAGCTTGCACTTGAACTGGCGCTCTGATGTGGGATGCTAGTGTCACAAGCGGCAGCTTAACATGCTGTACCACAATACTGGCCTGCCAGTTGGTTTCTGTCTACCTTTTTTTTTCCTTTAAAGATTATTTTATTGTATTTATTTGAAAGATAGTGGTAGAGATAAGGACTCAGAGGGAGGGAGGAAGAGATCTTTGTCTGTTGGTTTGCTCCCCAAATGTCTGCAACAGACAGGGCTGGGCCAGCAAAAAACCAGGACCCAGGTATCCACTTAGGTCTCCCACATGGGTGGCAAGGGCCCAAGTACATGGGCCATCATTCACTGCCTTCCCAGGTGCATTAGCAGGGAACTGGACTGGAAGTGGAGCAGTGGGGACTCAAACCAGCTCTCCGATTTGGGTTACTGGTATCGCAAACAGTGGCTTAACTACTGTACCATGATGCCACTCACTGCCCATCTTTTTCCTTTAAAAGCCTTACAAGGGATTGAGTAATGTGGGGGAACATCTGAGAATCAAAAGAGGAGAGTTGGGCACTGGGGAGGGTGGGCAGGTTTTTTAGATGAAACCATGATCATACCTAAATAAGAAGGGAACTGGATCCAGGCCTTACTCATAGAGCCTTGACCCCTCACTTCATGGAAGGGAGAACACCAAAACTGGGCTCACCAGCAGCTTGTGTTAGAATTCCCTGGGGCTGCGAGTGAAGGCAGATTCCAGTATCCTAGTCAGAACTGACTCACAGGAGTGGGCCCAAGCAGTCTGAGTTTTAACAACTATCACTCTGTTTATTGGAAAGGCAGGTCAGATTTTACAGAGAGAAAAAACGAAGATCTTCCATCTACTGGTTTACTCCCCAAATGGCCATAACAGCCAGAACTGAGCTGATCTGAAGCCAGGAACCAGGAGCTTCTTCTGGGTCTTCCACGTGGGTGCAGGGTCCCAACGATTTGGGCCACCCTCTACTGCTTTCCCAGGCCATAAGCAGGCAGCTAGATGGGAGTTGAGCACTGGGACACGAACCAGTGTCTGTATGGAATGGGATCCCTGTGCGTACAAGGTGAGGAATTAGCCATTGAAGAATTGCACCTACCCCACTCTATTTTTTTTTTACTATTTAGTTGAAAGCCATAGTTTTAGATACACACACATAGACAGAGAGAGAGATGAGAGTAAGAGAGAGAGAGAGATTTTTCATCTGCTTATTCAAGAACAAAGCTTCTTCAGGGGTTCCCATGTGTGTGCAGAGGCCCAAGCACTTGGGGCCATTTTCAGCTGCTTTCCTAGGCACATTAGCACAGAGCTGGACTGGAAGTGGAGCAGCTGAGACTTGAAGTAGCGCCCATATGGGACACCAGTGCTGCAGGTGGCAATTTTAGCTGCAACATCACAGTGCTAGTCCTCTCTGCCACTCTTAGGTCTAAGAAGCACAGCAGACCTGGCATAGACGTGCATGCTTTTGTTAGAAGACTCGAGGGAGAGGCATGAAGAGGAGTTGTGGGCTGGGCTGGGCTGGGCCGGGCCAGGCTGGGCTGGAGAGGTAGATAGGCTTAGTAGAGACCAGATAGGCCAGGAAGTTTGAGATAGGCTTAGTAGAGACCAGATAGGCCAGGAAGTTTGACTGGGCTGAGGATTCTGAACCCTTCTGCTGAGCTGTTGTTCTAGAACGGACCAGACACAACCTAAGAGGATCTGACTGTCCCCTGTAACACCCCCCAAGAGGAGGTCACGCCTCCTCCCTCAGCCGGAGTTGGGTCTGGGTGAAGTCAGGACCCAGGCTTCTCTGACCAAATTGTTTGTACTCCTTTCCTGTTTGCTTTCTCACTTCCACCCTGAAGGGAAAATACAGGTCCAAACCCAGAAGGAGGGGAAGCAGCCAGCTGTTTCCAGGCTGAGCAGCTGGGGTGGGTGCGGGGCAGTAGATACTGACTAGGAAACAGTTCCAGTCCCCACCTCTCTCGAGCCCCGGATGATGAAGTCATTACCTGGGGTGATAATGTTGACTTCCGGGAAGACGGATTGGATGGTCTGGCTGAGCAGCTGGTAGCCCAGGGACTGGCTGTCAGAGGGGCTGAGTGGCAGGGGCTCAAAGGCTCTGAGCACCTGCAGCTGAACCCGGTCATCGGCCACAGTGTTCTTGACAAATTCAAAGACCTCCAGAGAGGAAACAGAAAGGATTAGATTTCTTACTTTTCTTCTATTCCTGGGTCATAGGCAATTGAGTATTACAAGCAGAGTTTTGCGCTTTACTCATTTTTTTTTTTCTTCCTCATTGGGAATCTCAGTTTTGGCTGGGTGTCTGTGATGACTGGGCCTTTTCTGGAAAGCAACGGATTGCGGCTCAGTGTTGGGGAAGTGTTTCTGACAGCTTGGAGTTGGGTGGGGAAATTGGGTAATCAGGCAGTTATGTCTTTTCCCTTGGATTGTGAGCCCCAGGCTAGGTGAACATGTGAATGAAGAGAGTAGAAGGGGAAATCTCAGCCAGCCCCAGGTGAAGGACAGAGTGCTTGATGACTGCTCCTGCTGGGAGACTTTCAGACAGGTGATGAGAGGGTCATGCATTTCTCTTTCCGCTCTCTGGGCATCCCTCTTCCTGTTTGTAACAACTGCGCTGGGGCCAGGAAGATGAGCTCAACACAGACCCCAAGCCAGGAACTGGGATGTTAAGTGCTCAAGTTTTCTCTCTTGGCCTCCTTTCCTCAGGAAGGAAACTGATGGAACGTGTAGAAACTTCCAAATGAAGTGATTAGAGGGAAAACAGCAAAAATTCTTGCTCCCAGGAAGGATACAGGCCAGACCCTGGGCATTAGGTCATATGGAAGGCTGGGAATCCACCCAGTCCCCCCAGCAAAGCAGCAGCACTAGTCTCAACCTATTGAATGGCTTGAGGACATTTTCTCAAAAGTTCTCGCTTTAGGATCATTTTCCCTGGAAGCAGGATGGGAGCTGAGATAGAGAGGCAGGGAGGGGACCCACTGCTAGTTTTTTGAGTCCAACCAAGTAATTTCTGCTGGATGGGTGAGGGGGTCATCAGAGTTGATTTTTGTTCTATTATGACCCGAATATTCAACTGTAAAGATTAATGGGGCCCGGCGGCGTGGCCTAGCAGCTAAAGTCCTCACCTTGAACACGCCGGGATCCCATATGGGCGCTGGTTCTAATCCCAGCAGCTCCACTTCCCATCCAGCTCCCTGCTTGTGGCCTGGGAAAGCAGTTGAGGACGGCCCAAAGCCTTGGGACCCTGCACCCGTATGGGATGCCTGGAAGAAGTTCCTGGCTCCTGGCTTTGGATCGGCATAGCATCGGCTGTTGTGCTCACTTGAGGAGTGAATCATCGGACAGAAGATCTTCCTCTCTGTATATCTGACTTTCCAATAAATAAATAAATCTTTAAAAAAGATTAATGCAGAGCTCTGATATAGCCTTGACCCTCTGCAAGTTCCTAAAGCCATGAGGGATGCACATGGCCACCCCTTCTCAAGTTTTTTAGAAGTTCCTGCTGCCCAAATTTCTGGATGAATTTGAGACTCGGGTGGACTGTGTCAACCGACGAACCTTGGAAGGATTTCCTCATTCTTGGATCTGCGAGATCAACAGCATTTCAGAACTATCGAAAACACTTGAACAGAACCCTCCACATGGGGGACCCTGGGATAACATTAGGTAGCCATTCCCCATCCCTGGGTACTGAGATGGTTGGGAGGCTGAGTGTGACTTCTCTCCTTGTCGGCTCCCTTCCCCTCAGATATAGGAAGAAGATAAGGAAGTTGTGGAAATGGTGGTCTCACCTGCTGTCCCCTACTCCTCAACCCTTCCCACCCTAAGCAACTGTGTATAAACATCATTAAAAATAAAATTAAAAAGGGTTGCCCTCACATTTGAGTAATAGTTAAAGAAATATGTGCAAAATAAAGTACAAGCAGTGTAAAAAAACATAAAATAAAATTTAAAAGCCCAAACATGCTAGTCACATAGGTAACATTTTCCAGAGACACTTAAAACTGTACTAAGAAACAGATTAAATTGATTTTTTTTAATATTTTGAATTCAGTTTGTCCTAAAACATGACTATTTCAACATGAAACGTTAATAATAAAAAAAAAAGTAACGAGTTGCTTAAAAAAAAGTTCCTGCTGCCAAGACATGAAGGCAAACAGTTTGGATTTCAGGGCCCAAGTTGCCCAGCCTGCAGGGCCAGGCCCTGACCTGTATGTCCAGTCTTTGGCACCTGAAAGACAGGTATTTTATGATGGATGCATGGGATTTGAAAGATGTAAGCGGACTAAAACAATGGGAGCTGTCTCCTTTGGGAACTTACCTACGCTCCTACAAGTCAGCATGATGGGGCTGGGGAGTCTGACTTCAGTGGGCTGAAGGGGCAACAATAGCACCTGTCTTGAAAGGCGGCCATGACACCACGCAGAAAACAGATGCAGTGGGGTCAGGCTAGTGCTGGCATACAACAAGCACTCAACAAACCTCAACTATAACTTGCCCGAATAGACTTCAGGGAGCACTGTGGGCAATGATCAGAGAAACGCAAGGCTGGCACGAGGAGAGGGATCTGTCGTTGCTGCGCGAAACCTCAAAGGTTACTCTAGGGCATGCTGGTTTTTTATTTCTCTGATCTCCAACATTCCTTCCAGCACATGCCCACACCACTGTATTGTTTTCCATTTTATAGGAAGAACTATTTTCCTCTCACGTGAGTGTTACATTTGTTGAGGAAAAGGACAATGGATACTAAAACTTGGGAAGGTTTTTAGGACTAATGAGTCCCATTTCTATCCTGTTGTAAGCCTGCTCACTCGAGAATCCCCGACAGGCTGTCCCCTAGCACTCCCGGCAGTGAAAAGCTCACCACCACCACATGCTGTAGCTCACCTTAGCCATGGACAACTCGGGTATGACCATCTTCCCTAGAGTGAACTACGACTTGACTTCCCATGACACTGATCCCCTTGTCTTGTCATCGTACATCCTCCATAACGTATGATGCAGTGCTGGCACATCGCCAACACCTGGCAAGAACTTCACCTTGACCAAGTTGGAGGGTGCCATGCCTGCCCACTGTGTGCACTTCCACCTCTTGTCTGGGCCCCCCTCATTTCCTGGTCTCAATGGAAATGCCCCCTCCGAGGGGGCATCACTGTCTCCTCCACCCACTCCACACTCATGTTATGTCACAGCAACCTGCTGTCTTGTGGGACTCTGTCACTTCAGAATCACCTAGTTCATTTATGTCATTCCCTGCTTCTTGCTGTGTCTTTCCTCTGCAGCACAAACATCATTGCAGTGGGGGATCTACCTGGTTCACTGTCATCCCGGTGCTTAGGAGCCACTCAAGACAACAGTGACTGAACAAATGAAGGAAGGAAGGCGTCTCCAGCTGAGCCCTTTCTGAGGTCCAAGATGGTGCAATTCAAAACTTTTCCTTAAGGACCTTATTTGGAGCAGTGCTACAGGGAAAGCCTCCACGTGCAGCGCCAGCATCCCATAGGGGCACGGCTGACTGGAGACTCCATGAAACACACTCCCCTGTGGCCTCATTTCTGCTCTCTGAGGCCCATTCAGAAGGAACCTGCCTCTCTGCATGGTGGCTGATGGACTTTCTGAAGGGCTTTGTTCCTCACAGGTGGCTGCTGGAGACCCACCCACACTGGAACATGGGAGAGAGCAGCTGAAGACCAAGAGGATGCCCATGTTCCCGTGGGATCAGCGACCTGCAGATCCCCAGCGAGCATCCCTGGCATGTGGACTGCAGGCACGAGGAAGGGGCATGGTGGGGACACTTCCATCAGGTGCAGAGGAACAGCAGGCCATTGCAGGGGACGAGTGCCAGGACCTGGGGAGATGAAAGCCCTGGGGCGGGTGGAAAACAGCCCTCGGAAAGGGCATGGAGTGGGAACAAGGCTGGAAAAACCCTGCTGGAAAGCAGCTCACGAAGGGCAAATTCAGCGACTTCCTGGCTGCCGGAGCCCCCCAGGGAGGGGACAAAGGTTGGCACTGGATGAAAAGCTGCAGGGCCCAGGGCTCACACAGGGCCAGCTTCCTGCTGTACCCCGTGCTGGTGGCTCCCTGGCAGGCCTTCTCCCTCCCTGCGTGAGGACAGAAGGGGGTCTCTGTGGGGGAAGAACTAGGAGAAAGGACCCCAGGGGTGTGGAACCTGCAGGACTCTGAAGTACTGCTCCTCCAAGGCTTGCTGCCCTGCCTTTTCGGATCAGTTTTTAAAAGATCAGGTTTGGTTTTGGACTTCTTTGCAGCTCAGGCTGCTGTCTGAATAGGCTGTCACTGTGCCCGTTGTTCTCTGTCACTTCCCCTCACCCTCAGCTTCGGGCTGCCTCAGCCAAGGTCTGGTGACTTGTTGTGATCTTTGATGGCACCAAGTTCCTTTTCAGCATGGCTCTCTCGCCATTTGTCATTACAGATCTGCACCGTTTTTAACCTGCTGTTCCTTAGTAAATATTGTGAGGCACTGGCTTAACTCCTTCCTCCCCTGCCTCTATACACCCTACCCGGGCAGTGAATGGACTCGGGAGGGCTTGTCTCATGTTCCCAACACTCCAGCCTGTATCTCTAACTCATGTCACTGTCCAGATCTGACATACTTACAACTGCCTGTTGACAGAAGATTCTCAAACTTCTAAGCCATTGTACACGAGTACACCATGTACTGATGAATTCATCTCTTTCATACACTCACATCTCTAACAGGTAGATGCCCTCTTTGCTACTACTCCATGGCCATGACCTTGATTCAGCCCTCACATGTGCTGAGATGTGGCAATGGCTTCCTGTCTCAACTTCAGCACTTCTCTGTGCCAGCAGCATTCTCTCCCTCAGAGCCAACCTGAGTGTACTGTTGGCCTGTTTCTTCCTATTAATGGATTAGAATCCAAACTCTGGGGTCAATGCTGTGGCACAGCAAGTAAAGCCGCCACCTGCAGTGCCAGCACTCCATATGGGTGCCTGTTCAAGTCCTTGCTGCTCCATTTCAGATCTAGCTCCCTGCTAATGTGGTTGGGAAGGCAGCAGAGAATAGCTGCAGTACTTGGGTCCATGCATCCACATGGGAGATCCATACGCTTCAGGCTCCTGGCTTTGACCTAGCTCCAGCTGTTGCGGCCATTTGGGGAGTGAACCAGCAGATGGAAGACCTCTCTGTCTCTTCTCCTGGCTCTGTAACTCTGGTTCTTTAAAAAAAAAAAACCCTCAAACTCAGCACTGGTATCTAAAGGTCTGGGTATCCAAACCACAACTCCTCATCCATTTTCACTGACTCCTGTTTCTCCTCAGTTTATCCTTCTCTTTATTCACAATGCATGGTGCACACATTTAGTAAAGTCCCATTTGCCGTATAAGGTCCAGCTCACATTTTCATGGGCAGAAGTAGAATCAGTCCTCTTCTCTGTAGTCTAATGGATGGTAATTTGTCCGGCCCTAGTGGTTGCACACACAGTGTAGTTTTGTGACTCAATGCACAGTCTCTGGCCAGGCTGATGTGCAGTTATGGCTAAGTAGCTTAGCTGCTCAGGAGCTCTGGGTATCCAGAGGAGAATGCAGTTCCCACCTGTGCACTTATACCTATGTGGACCTTAGAATGATGCCAAACATACTGTGAACCCATGTAGTGTGCTTGCTACTGTTACCATCATTTTTATGTATCCATCTCTCCCTACCCCCAGGCTCCAAGTTCCTCCGAATCAGAGAGCTCCTAACCCAGCCAAGTATCAATTATAGAGGCTGCCTTTGAAATATGTTGGTTATACAAATGACAGTGGGCTAGCCCCAGGTTTTAGTGGATGCCAGGTCCTGAGAGCCACACCTCCTTGAGGCTGAATGAATTGTCTGGAATACACGCACGTACCTCTTGGACTGTCTGCGCATGGTGAATTCGGAAGTTGACTACGGCCTGGGCAAAGGGCGGGATGACATTTCCCTGGGGAGGGAACACAAACACCGGTCTGAGCTCACCCCATGTCTTCCCCCAGCTGCTCCCTGTCCAGAAAATGCCATCTAGCAGCAGGATGGGAGGAAGCAGACTCCTTAAGGACCTATGGTTTCAGTCTTGTCTTCTGTGGCCCAGACCTGGGGTTACCTTTAGGGCTACAGGAGTGTCTGCTTCGGGCCAGGTCTTTGTACTTGTTGGTCCTGGAGCAGGACACAGAGCAGGACACAGTAGCAAGACACTGTGATGGCCCAGACATCTGTTTGGGCCTTGTATTTTGGTTCCTGGGATGCCCAGGGCATCCCTGCAGCCCCAGAGTCTCCCATCAAGGCAACTGTGACTCTGAGGGTGATGACAGCGGCAGTGGTTTCCACATCCACATGAACTCTGATTCTGTTTTTGGCCTGTCCAGGGAGAATCCATGACTATTAGAGGGGAGAGTTAGGCTATGAAAGGATTTTCCCCTTGGAAGCTAGGAGATGAGTCTTTCTACCTGTGTATTCTTCTTAAAAATTGTGTGATCCTCCCCTTCCCTTGCCAAAAAAAGCTGGACTTGGGACAGGAGAACTAGGCTGGCACTAATGGGCTGTGGGATTTTAAATAACTGCAATCTCCTTGTGCCTTTGTGTCTTCTCCTGGCAGCTGGGGCAATAAACACTTCTAGGGCTCTTAGAAGGAGCAATCAGAACAACAAATGTGACCCTCTTCTGGGGAGATGAAAGTGTCATTCAAAATACAAAGATAAGATATTATGTGGGTTGGAAGAGAGGGAAGGTAGCTTGGCTCCAGTGGGTACACTGGGCACTCTGGCTAGTAACACCTGCAACACAGATTCTGAGGTAGCCATATCCAGTCTGGCTGCATATAAGGCCATACTGTACTCCAGGTGAACGGCACCTCTGGAGTTGGTCATACAAAGCTTATAGACAGGCCTATGCTGCAGCATGGCTGGGCTTGGTCCAGTGAACAGAAATGCCCTTACTGGCCAGTCCAACTGGATGTAGACCAATTTTTTTTTTGGTTAAAGATTTATTTATTTTTGGGCCCGGCGCGGTGGCGCAAGTGGTTAAGGTCCTTGCCTTGCACGCCTGGGATCCCATATAGGTGCCAGTTCTATCCCAGCAGCCCCACTTCCCATCCAGCTCCCTGCCTGTGGCCCGGGAAAGCAGTCGAGGACAGCCCAAAGCTTTGGGACCTTGCACCCGCGTGGGAGACCCGGAAGAGGCTCCTGGCTTCGGATTGGCATAGTATTGGCCGTTGCACTCACTTGGGGAGTGAATCATCGGACGGAAGATCTTCCTCTCTGTCTCTCCTCTCTGTATATCCGCCTTTCCAATAAAAAAAAATAAAAATAAAATCTTTTAAAAAATTATTTATTTTTATTGGAAAGACAGATTTACAGAAAGGAGAGACAAATATCTTTCATCTGTTGGTTCATTCCCCAAATAGCTGCAATAGCCAGCTGATCTGAAGCCAGAAGCCAGAAGCCAGAGCCTCTCCTACGTCTCCCACGTCGGTGCAGGGTCCAAAGGACTCGGGCCATCCTCCACTGATTTTCGAGGTCACAAGCAGGGAGCTGGATGGGAAGTGGAGCAGCCAGGACACAAACTGATGTCCACATAGGATGCCTGTGTTTGCAGGCAGAAGATTAGCCTGTTGGGTTATCATGCCATCACCAAGTAGACCTATTTTAACCCCAATTCTTGGGATTAAGAATTTATCAAAGTCTGAATTTACCAAAGTATAACTTATTTCTATAACAGTAAATTTCACATAGAATTCATGCTTGCTTGGGGCTGGCACTGTGGCACAATGTGTTAAGCCACCACCTGTAACTTCAGCATCCCAAATGAGGATAGGTTCGAGTTCCAGATGCTTCATTTCTGGTCCAGCTCCCTGCTAATGTGACTGGGAAAGCAGGGAAAGATGGCCTGCGTGTTTGGGCCCCTGTCACCCACATAGGAGATCTGGATGGAATTCCTGGCTCTTGGTTTGGTCCTGTCCCAGCTCTGGCTATTGTGGCCACTTGGGGAATGAATCAGTAAATGGAAGATCTCTTTCTCTCGGTTTCTCCTTTTCTGTCACTTTGCCTTTAAGATAAATTAAATGAGTCTTTAAAAAATGTATATTTGCTAATTTTTGTTTCCCAATCTTTAGTAGCTCTGGGAAGGTGACAGTGCATTCACTTCAAATGCTGCTGTGTTGTTTATCATAGGTTTTATAAATGGCAGCTGATTTTCTCTCAATTCAGCGGAACCCTGAGGAAAACACATTAATCACGTAATGGTTGTTAAAAAGATACATCTTTCAAACATGGAAAAGAAAAAATGATACTCATTCATAGAAAAGTTTGAATTCTTAGTTCATAGGGACAGAGCTTGGTAAAGGTGAAATATATTGGTACAGATTAAAATAATTCAAATCTCCCAACCCCCTTTCCCACTCACTGTAATGGCTGGATCTTTTGGCAGCCCAAGGAATCTGAGAATGTCATGGACTCCCCTCACTGAAATGCACACGTATGGATTTGCCCAGCAAGTCATAGGGCTTGCAGACAGCTGGATCCCTTGCTGTTGATGTTGACCCCACTGATGGCCCAGGACAGTTTAGCAATGGTCCTTCCCATTATTCCAAATGCAAGTAGAGGAATGAAAAGGATCCAGGACACAGAGGCAAGAGGGCAACAAGGAAAAGATGTTGTGGGAGGAAGCAGGTGTCATTACCTTTATCCCTGCTTCGAACTTAGTGATAGCTGTAGTAGTCCTGATCATCGCATTGGTTATAGGATTTCTCTCCAAAAACCTACAGCAGGAGGACTAAGGTCAGATGTTAGGCAGGACCGTCCACTGGTGAGAAAGAAAAGGCTGGAAGGATCACTCACTTCCCTGAACTTTAGAGATCTTAGAGACTTCGTCAGAGCACCAGATATAGCGTTTGGTGGCTGAGAATGGCACAGTTAAGCCAGGAACAGGGGACAAGGGAGCGGGTAGGTTGGGGATGCATGGTGCCAAGGAAGGGAAGCTAGTCCATTACCTGCTTACAAGGGGCTGGAAGAGCCATAGGTTGCTCAACAATATATTGTGGGGGAAGGGAAACTGAAAAACAAAAAAACACAAAGTCAAGATCACCACAACAGGGTCCTTGCTTCTGAGGCCTGGGTCGTGCCCTCTCTGGATCTGCCTCAGCTGTGAGGAGTGCAGACCAAGTTTGGCAAAACCAGTCTCTTCCAGGAGGTGAGCGCTGGGTGCAATGACTGCCTGGCAGGGCTTCTCTGATTGACACTTGCTGAGCAACCTTGAGGAGTGACAGTTAGCTCCCCAAGATTACCTGGGTGTGTCTTATATTTGGCCCACATATAGCCCCAGTAGCTCCAGACAATAAGCCAGAGTCATGCAATATGGCTCAGCCACTGAGCAGGAACAGAAGTGACTGGGCAGGACACTGGGCAGCATGTCGGCCCTTTTACTGCTCAGCCATCACTTCTTTGCCACCCTCCTGCTCCTCTTCCTTAGCTGACCAGCACTATGTGAGCCCATACCTCATTTGCCAGTTGCTGCAATGTCATCTTCAATATCCCTCTCCCAAACAGGTTTGGCATTGGTGTCTGTTCCAGTCTGGAAGAGAAGTGGAGCTCTTAGAACTTAGCCAACCCCAATCAAACACCAGTGACCCGAAGAGGAGGAACGAGGGGGATAGGAGGAAATTTTGAGAAGGTTGGCCAGGGGAGGCAGAGGCTTTGGACAACTCCACCAGCCATTGCCAACCTGTAAGTTCTGGCTGCTTGTCTGGGCTCTGGGCTCCTTGCCCAAGACCTAGCTTTTGTTTCCTGGCCCTTGGCTGCCTTGGATGGATGCACTGATGGATCCATTTCTGAGCTCAGCCCTTGCCTGGGTACAGTATAGCTTCAAGCCAGGAGGCATGACCCCCTCAAACTCAAAACAGGACAGTGTCAGGTCTTGCATGCTGGGTTGGGCACAGAGGGGCAGGAGTTGCTCACCGACTGAGGGCAGCTGCCAGGATGCCAATGCTGGTCTCTTTTGGGGGAGCTGAGGAGTGGCCTGGAGTCATGTTCACCTGCAGCATGAGGTCAAGGGCGCCCTTCTCTGAGACTGAGACCCTGTGGAAGAGGACCAGAGACCACACTCCTGAACTCCTCCCACCCCTGCACCTTTTAGGCCCACTGGCCTATTTGCATGGCCGCCTGTTGGGCTAGATGGCCAGCTTCAGGCTGTGTGGAGTAAGCCGCCATGTGTGGACACTGGTACCCCATATCAGAGTGCTAATTTGGGTTCTGGCTGCTCTGCTTCAGATCCAGCTCCCTTCTAAAGAGCCTGAGTAAGTAGCAGAAGATAACTTGAATGACTGGACTCCTGTGATCCACGTGGGAGATGCACAAGGAATTCCAAGTGCTTAGCTTTCGCATGGCCTAGTCCCAGTGGTTGTGGCCATTTGGAACGTGAACCAGTGGATGGAAGGTCTTGCTCTGTACGTCCTGCTCTCTAGAACTCTGCTTTTCAAATAAATAAGCGAACAACAATAATAATAAATCCACAGTAGAGGAAGGTGGAAAAGGGAAGCTCACAACAAGATGAACATCAGGGTGGTGAGGGTAAGGGGGAGCAAAACAGAGTTGTTTCAGTGTAAGTGACAGATGCTAGGCTGGGGCATCTCAAATGCAGTGAAGACCTCTCCAAGGCAGAGGGTGGGGTACCTTACTCACATGGCAAAGGGCGTCTTGAGGCTGGGAAGGAAGCCATCTAATACGAAGCTGCCCTCATCCACGATGAAGGCCAGCTGGACGCCCCTTGCCTGGAGCAGGGTTGCGATCTTCTGAGCCCCATGTACTCCTGATACCTGCAGACATTGAACCGAGAGCCATAGTCCTAGCCCCAAGAACAACTTCCTGAGACAGCTAATGTAGACCCCATTCAGCTCAGCTAGGGGCTTGGGAGCTTTCCTGCCTTGTCTCCTTCCAGGGGATCGGGGCCTGGGATAGAATTCTGAAATGTTTTGAGCTGGGTGGGTCAGGCCCCTGCTGCCCCCTAACCTGCTCTAGGTCAAAGTGAGTGGTGTCATGGGAAGCAGAGCAGGGCAATGGACCCTCCCTCCCTCTATCACACCAGAGTTTCCTAGTGGGGAGCTGATGGGCTACCTGCCTCTGCAGACATTACCAGGGAGTTTGCCATACACTCACATCTGTGGCCCTAAAGCCCAGGAAACTAAATTCTGTTCAAGGCCCATAGACAGTTCTGGCTCCCAGGCACAGAGAAGCCACTTGTCACCACCCCATCTCATGAACTGGATCATGTCGAGGAAGACTCTGTGCCCCCCACCTTCAACAGGAATCCCAGAGATAGGTACGAAGTAAAGAGGTGCTACCTCTTCATCATGGCCCAGAGCAATGAAGAAAGACCTTTGTGGGATGTAGTTCCGGGTCAGCAGGAGCTGCAAGGCTTGCAGGATTGCCTGCAAAAGGGAAGAAAAAGGCTTATGGGCCCGGGGGGAGAGTCAAATGTCAACACCAGGCTTGGAGGACCAGGCTCTGATAGGTTTCCTTCAAAAAGAAATGCAAATGGTACTGGGGGACCTGCCCCATGGGTGTGGGGGACTCTGTAGGAAACCTTTACTACCTGGAGGAAAGCACTGAGAAGGGCCCTCTGGGGATTAGCTACACTAATTGCCATAGACAGTTGAAACATCAAGGCCAAAAAAAGAGAAGTGGCAATCTCATGGCTGGCATTCAAGGGTTTCTTGGGGCTGTGACCTTCTGGGACCTCCCTTCCCGCTAGCTGTGAGCTTTTGGGTCCCCAGGGAGGAGGCACATAGTGATTCAGACCATCACAGAGTTCTTGTTGTCTAGCGTGCCCCGACCATGGATGAAGCCATCACGCTCCAGCCCAGAGAAGGGGGGCACCTCCCAGCCTTCCTCTGGGGCAGGTACTACGTCAAAGTGAGCCAAGAGCATGTAGGGCTGCAGGCTGCGGTCTGTGCCTTGGATGGTGAACAGGTGGCTGTACTCTCCCACAACTTCATGCTGGATAAAGCTGGTGTTGAACAACCTGGGAAAGACTAGAGGCAGGGAGACATGAAGGAGGGTGAGTCATCCTTAACAGCTCCCTTCAGTATTCCTACCACTTTATGTGCAATATCTGCCTCCCACTCCTTTAAAAAAAGACTTCCCCTTTAAGAAGCCTTCAGGACAAAGCTAATCTGACTTCTGATCTGCCTGGCCAATCTTTGAAATTGCTCTCCCATATGATTAATGTGCTGTTACTTTTTAACAACACACCAATCAAGACTCTTCTATTAAAACAGCTGACTTTTCCAGATGTGACTTGGTCTTACCTCTAACACACTACCGCAAGTTCATGCTCCAAGGTTAATACAGATGAAGAGTGTGAAAATTTTTGAATACAGTAGTTCCTAGCATCAAAATTGCTTGAAGCCAAATACGACATTTATATTAAAGACCCAGAGATATTCTTAAACAAATACTACTACTGCTTGTGTTATATGGAGATAAAGATGATGATTCTGTCTGGCACAAGGTCACACTTCTGAGTGCAGGCATGAACATTCCTGGAGCTCCTGGTATAGGGGTTCTCAAGACAAGGAACTTTTAGTTCCCATTGGGCTTTGTGGGGGAATCCACATCCATCCCTGCTGACCTATGAAGACAAAAAGCTAAAGAATATGTTTGTATCTTGTTGTTCAGCTCTTCTAGCTTTTTGTCACTATATGCTGATTTCCCTATTTTTGTTTATTTAAAATCTGATATCAATTTTACTCCTTTCTATTTTCACTTATTTGAGAGGCAGAGAGAGAGTTAGAAAGAGAGGCAAATGAGCATCCCTATTGCTGCTTTGCTCCCAAATGCCCATAACAGTGGGGCTGGACCAGACCGAAGCCAGGAGTCAAGAAATCCAACATGTCATTCTCTCTGTCTCTCCTTCTCTCTGTATATCTGCCTTTCTAATCAAAATTAATAAATATTTAAAAAAAAAATAAAAAGAGTTCGGCCAGGAAGCCTAGCGGCTACAGTCCTTGCCTTGCACACTCTGGGATCCTATAAGGGCACCAGTTCCTGTCCCAGCTGTTCCACTTCCCATCCAGCTCCCTGCTTGTGGCCTGGGAAAGCAGTAGAGGATGGCCCAAAGCCTTGGGACCCTGTACCCATGTGGGAGACTTGGAAGAAGCTCCTGACTCCTGGCTTCAGATTGGCTCAGCTCCAGCTGTTGTGGCCACTTGTGGAGTGAACCAGCAGACAGAAGACCACTCTCTTTGTATCTCCTTCTCTCTGTATATCTGCTTTTTTATAAAAATAAATAAATCTGGGCTCGGCACTGTGGCCTAGTGGCTAAAGTCCTTGCTTTGAACACACCGGAATCCCATATGGGCAATGGTTCTAATCCCGGCAGCTCCGCTTCCCATCCAGCTCCCTGCTTGTGGCTTGGGAAAGCAGTCGAGGACAGCCCAAGGCCTTGGGAACCTGCACCCGTGTGGGAGACCTGGAAGAAGTTCCTGGCTCCTGGCTTTGGATCGGCATAGCAAAGACCATTGTGGTCACTTGGGGAGTGAATCATCGGACAGAAGATCTTCCTCTCTGTCTCTCCTCCTCTCTGTATATCTGACTTTCCAATAAATAAATAAATCTTTAAAAAAAAATCTTTAAAACAAAACAAAACCAAACCAAGAAGTGGGGGCCCAGCCACTTGAGCCATCACCTGCTACGTCTCCAGGTGTGTATTACCATGAAACAGGAATACGAAGTGGAACCTGGCCTGGAACTAGACAGTTTGATGGAAGGAAACACAAACAGCCCAAGCAATGTTTTAGTCAGTAGGTCAAATGCCTATCCCAATGTCACAGTTAGTGAAGACATCCAGCTTGGCCCCCATTTGGCTACTAAGCATTAATTCCAGATTCATTTCTCTCAGAGAATTAGTCAGGGGGCTACTTGCCCGTCCCAGGCCAACTTCTACTTCCTGAAAGATTATCTTTAAATGGGTGGAGGAAGTTGGCCTCCCCACTTTCCACAGAACTTTTATAAGGGCAGAAAGAGTTCCAAGACTTGTTTTTCCAGAGGTACCCTTCTGGGCTGCACACTCTGCGGAGGGGGTGTGTGTGTGGCAGGGGTGAGGAGGGCGGACATACATGATCTCTCTCAGAGTGTCACTCTCTAGAGACTTAGAAAGGCCCAACAAACAAGACTGGAGTAGACGTGGCTAGGTGGAGTACATGTATGGTGCATAGGTGAGGAAGGGGTTCGAGCAGAATGGGGCATACTTCTGCACATGTGTTCAGGGGAAAAAGAATCCCCAGCATGCCTTTGTGATTCTATTATTCCTTGGCTGTTGGTTAATATATATTTCAGATGAAGCTAGAGGGAGATTAAACTCCAACCCAAGAGCTGTGTGGCTTAGTTCTTTAAAGGACAGACTGACAGATTTATAGTGTCTGCCTCTGCTGGGATTCTTGAATTCCTCCTTTCAGACTTTCCTGCTGTGGCCAAACTCATTTCTAACTAATGATATCTATATACCTATATCTATAGAATATATTATCTTAAACATAATATTATATTAAATATATGATAAACACATTCTATTAATTATTATACTTATTAAATATTATATTGGCTATATATACACACATATATATATATACATACATTTATATATATATATATACATACATTTTAAAGGCAGTTATTAGAGCCAGCATGGTAGCTCAATTGGCTAATCCTTTGCCCACAAATGCCTACATCCTGTATGGGAACTGGTTGATATCCTAGTTGCCTCATTTCCATTCCAGCTCCTTGCTTGTGGCCTGAGAAAGCAAAGGAGAATAGCTCAAGACCTTGGGACCCTGCACCCACTCTGAGACCAAGGGGAAGTTCCTGGCTCTAGGTTCCTGGCTTCACATTGGCTTGGCTCAGCTCTGGTTTTTTGCAATCATTTGGGAAGTGAATCAGTGGGTGGAAGATCCTTATCTCTCTGTCTCTCCTCTCTCTTTAAATGTGCCACTCCAATAAAAATAAATAAATCTTTTTAAAAAAGGTAGTCAAAGAAAGAAAAACAGAGAGAGAGAGAAATCCCCCATCCATTGGTTATTCTCCAAATGGTGGCAATAGCTGGGTCAAGCTAAAGCCAAGAGCCTGGAACTCCATCTGGGTCTCCCAGAAGAGCATCGCCTGCTGCCTTCCCAAGGACTTTAGTAGGAAGCCAGATTGGAAGTGGAGTAACTACTGATTTGGGATGCCAGCATTGCACGCAATGGCTTAATCCACTGCCAAAACATCAGTTCCATGCTGTGCTCATGCTCAAGAGACTTGTGGGAATTGGATTGTCCCTGATAAGTGATACAACAGACTTCTCTTTCATCTTGTCTCCAGTGCCACATCTCCCACGCATGCCAGTTCTGCTTCTCACCTTTATGGATGTATTCTCCAAACTCAGCTAGGGCTGTGGTGTTGGACTCCTCGTGGCTGAAAGACACTGTGGGAATCTGGATGGCACCTGTCAAACAGAGATGTAAGGTTAAAGATGTTTTCCCCACGATCCTATGTTCATTAACAGTTCTTTTGTATGAATTATCTCTATAATTTCAAAAAAATCAATATTTTAAGATTTATTTATTTGAAAGTCAGAGTTACAGAGAGAGATAGACAGAGAGAGATCTTCCATCTTCTAGTTCATTCTATAATGGCCACAATGGTGAGGCTACAAATAGGAGCTAAGAACTTCATTAGGGTCTCCCATGTATGTAGCAGGGACTTAAGTTCTTGAGTCATCCTCCATGCTTTTCTAGGCACATGTTTTCCTGGATCAGAGATGGAGCTGCTGGCACTCTATCTGATGCCCAAAATGGGATGCTGGCATTGCCAGCAGCAACTTTACATGCTATACTATAATGCTAGCCCCTAGTTAATTTTACTTTTAATTTGAAAGAGAGATTGATTTGATTGATTGGTTGATTCACGTGTTCAGGAAGCTGTCCTTGGTTAAGAATACAAGTCTCTGGATAAACCGAGGCCATCACTTTGCACAAAAGCACACAAGCCTCCTTGAGGCAGAGACCCCAGACAGTGAGGCTTGGATCAGATGGAGCAGCCTGGACTCGAACCCAGCGCCGATATGGGATGTGGTCATCACAGGCAGCAGCTTAACTTGTCATGCCACATTGCGCACAAAGCTACCAAACCAGTTTCTCAGTCCAAAAACAATCACCTCTTCTCTACCCAGACCTTCCAGTTCCTCACTTGAACTAAGCTCAGCCTTTGACTCCTGGAGGTTTCATATACTTTAAGTTTGAGAGGAGCCCAGCAATGTGGCCCCTCTTGAACTTAAAGTCTATGATGACCACATCCTTTATCGGCACTGGGTTCAAGTCCAGGCTGCTCCAGTTCCTACCCAGCTCCCAGCTAATGTGTTTTCAAATGTAGCAGAGGATGGCCCAAGTACCTGGGCCTCTATACCAATGTGGGAAACCTGGAAGAAGTTCCTGACTCCTGGTTTGAGACTGGCCCAGACCTACTTGTTGCACCAGCATGTGGAGAAAGCTGAGGCCCAAGACTCGGGCTCAGATCTGAACTCAATAGGTTAACTGGGCTGGCATAAAGTCCCTGCCCTGGGTTCTCATGGGGCTTTTGCTTTCTTCTGTGCAAGGAGACTAGGTGGTTTTCCAATGACTTCTAGAGGAGACCTGCTACTGGCCCCTCTCTGTCCCCCAGGCCTACAGCTCCAGCACACACAGTCCCTGTCCAATCACAGGCACGAGCTTTTGAGGCCCAAATCTGCCTGCCTGTGTTTATGTAGGCAGTTTCTCTAAATCCAGGCTTTCATGAATGGACAAGCCTGGCGCAAATCCATTCAATGGTCAGGAAGGATTTCATTATTTCATCGGTTCTAACAGACCGCACAGACTTTTACTCATTTCTTCTGGAAAAGGCAGATGGGAGTGAATAAGGCTTCAGCCAGGGTCAGTGATCACGCAGGTGCTAGGAGCACACCACAGCCCCCTGCACACTGGACATCCCTTCCTGGGCCTCCAGGAACCCACCCGGACTCCACTCCTTGCTGGGAGACCCAAGATTACTGCGCTGGCCCAAGCCTCACTTTCCCTGCTCTGTGGATGAGACTAAGACCCTTGAGTGTCAAAATTCAGTTGTATCTGTTGGGCAGATATGAGAAACTGCAAATGTTGCAAGTGTTTCTCAATTAAGGTTTGTTGCAAAACTCGAGGCAGCAGGGGATAGGTGGGCGGCCTCCACGCCACTAGAGTCATGTTGGAGCTTCCAGGAAAGAATCCAAAGTCCCAGAAACCCGGCCTGAAGGGAAAGGGAGGTGCCAAGAAGGGACTGAGTGGTGGGGCTGGGGGCTGGGGCAGGTTTGTGCCATGGGTGTTGCCGGGCTCTGGCCAGAGCAGGGGACGCTACACGGGGATAGACGACGAGACCAAGGCTGACCGGAGCACCAAGGGACCCCAAGGAACGTGGGCGGGTCAAGGAGACCCCAATTCACCTTTCAGGGCTTCTTTCATCTCTGTGCACTCCTTTTGGCTGAATCGAGGAGGGATTCGCGACGTTTCCACATCTTTCCTGCTCTTCTGGCTCTCTGAGCTGGGGACCGTGGCGAATATTAGCAGCAGCCCAGCCACCAGGGCCAGCGCCCCACAGTACCGCAGAGCCATGCTTTCCCGGCGTCTCCCCAGGCCAGGAGCCGATGGAGTTTAGACCTGAGAGCTCCAGACCGCCCGCCTCATCTGGACACTGCTGTAAATGCAACGATCGGTGTTAGTCCCACCCTTTCCCCAGACATGGCCAATCATAGCTTGCCTATGGCTACGGGGAACCAATCAACGGAAAGACCTCGCCCTAGTCCCGCAAGGCCTTCTGGGAGTTGTGGTTTCTGGAAAGTTAGCCCACAGGGGCGGGCAGCAGGTTGAGCTAGCATGGCAGGCCAGGGTGAGGTCTGGTCCGCTTTTGTGTCTGTGATTACATACCCAGTCATAGGAAAGCAAGGAAGCGTGTAAGACTTCTGATTTCTTCTGAAACGAGGCAGGTGACTATCATTCCTTAGGCCTCCATAGGGAGCTCTCTTGGGTGTCCCCTTTGATGTTCCAGCCCTGAGGGTTTGCTTGGGTCCAGGAATTTCTTTGGTATTGATGCAACTAGCATCACTTTTTTTTTTTTTTTTCCGCAACTCTAGGCAGAAACACTAACGCTGATGATTGCTCTAAGTCTGAACAATTGCGGTTTTTAAAAAAAAGATGATCTTTAAGTACAGGGGTTTGCTCTTTGTGGTTCCAGTTATCCAGGGCCAAAAATATTCAAGGGTGAATCTCAAACATAAGTCATTTGAGGTTTTAAGTTGTCCAGGTGTCTGAGTAGCATAATGAGCTCTTGGATCCATATGCCCCATCTTTGTGTGTCCCTCCGGGGCCTATGTCATCCTTTTGCTCACCGCATCCCATTTGTTAATCACATGACAGCAATCTCCACGGTCAGATCCACTCGGGTGGTGTCACAGTGCTTGTGTTCATGGAACCCTTAATTATACCTATTACTGAGCCCAATGTGCAAGAGTACTGTTGCTGGTCCTTCGGCCATGCCGAAGAGAAGTGATACAGTGCTTCTCGTAAAGGCAAAGATTCTTGCATTCTTGATTTCATAAGGGAAAAACATCCTATACTGAGGTTGCTAAATCTACAAGAGTGAACCATCTGGGGCAGTTTAGATGCCAGGTGCTAGGCAAGATCCCTTGTCCTGTGTTGCAGTGACTGAGTCTGATCCTCACCCCGCTCTTGGTTCCAACTTCCTGCCAGGAGACGCTGGCAGGCAGCAGTTGATGGCTTCAGGTGTAGGATTCCTGTCACCCACATGGGAGACCTGCTCATTTGAGCAGGGAACCAGCAGATAGGAGCTCTGTCAAATATGTATTTTTTTTAAAAAGCTTCTCTTATTTGTGAAATTGTGAAGAAGACAAATTAGCGCTAGATGTGCTAGCACAAACTTTTGCAATTTAGTCTGCAAAAGTTACAGTTACATGGAAAGGCATTGTAGATATAGGTTTCCCTGCTATCTGAGGCTTTAGGTATTCACTGGAGGGAGTTTGTGTCTTGGAATGCATCCCTATGGATAAGCAGAGATTACTGTATCAGTATATTTGATGTATTACACAAATTGAAATTCCACAGCTGTTCAGAGTAGAGGATCCTTTCGGGGATGGGATAAGAAACCTCTTGTGACACAGAGGTATAAAATTAGGTTTCTAGGAACCAGTAAACTGTTCCATTCAGATTTCTTGATGCAATTTTGTCTGGTATCATTCTCACTCTTTAAAACATTCTCAAGAAGTTTGTAAGTGCTGTGTAGCCAACAGGACCATACAGCTACTTGGGAGCTAAGCTGCAAGTTCACACTTCCGGTGTTTGTTCAGAAAAATACTTAGTTCTAACCCTTTCATTAATTTACTTAGAAAACTATGATTTACTTTTCAATAGCAACTTAAAACCAGCATTATGCACTTCCTATTTTCTAAAATGTTTCACACATTTATTGCTGAAGCATTCCATCAGTCAAAGCCCAAACATGCCCAACTGTGCAGGTAACAGTGACATCTCCAGCTTGATATGGTTAAGAAGATGGCGACCTGGAGCTCAGTGCTGTAGTGTATCAGGAGTTGTATGGGCACCAATTCAAGTCCTGGCTGCTCCACTTCCCATTTAGCTCCCTGCCTGTGGCCTGGGAAAGCAGTGAAAATGGGCCAAAGCCTTGGGACCCTGCACCCACATGGGAGACCTGGAAGAAGCTCCTGGCTCCTGGCTTTGGATCAGCTCAGCTCCAACCATTGCAACCACTTGGAAAGTGAATCAGCAGATGCAAGATTCTCCTTCTCTTTTTCTTTCTAACACTTCTTCTTAAATAAATAAACAAAACATATCTTAAAGAAAGGCAGAATTAGAACAGTGATAGGACAAGGAACACAGTTTGGATTTAAACTCCAAGTCACCAATATTAGTGTTATTGTTTGCTTTACAGGTACCTTATATTTACTCTTTAAGTATCAATATCACATGGTAAGATAATTTAAAGAATATTTACAGATATTATATATATACATATATATATAGCTTATGGTATAATACTAAAGAAAAGAAGTAAAGCATTTGGTTCATTTTAAAACACTTATACACATGTTCATACCTGAGTATTTGTATAGACAGAAAAAATTGGACAACATCAAAACATTCTCAATGAATATGTTTAGATGTTGGAATAGCATGTGATTTTTTTTCAGTGACACTTTGTATTTTTCCAACTACTTAACACGGGCCTAGATATTAACCTTACAATCATAAAATCTTTTAAAGCTTAGTAGGAATTAAACTACCTTGTTTTTGAAGATTCTGTCAAGTTCACACTTTTAAATGTCAACTCTATTTTTATTATTTTAGATCTGAAGCTGAGTGGTGAATCCAGACTGTGTTACCGTGCATGCTCTGCGGTGGATATAAGAAATTTCAGGATTTCTCTGCCATTGTGAATACATGTGATCCTTCCTCTCTGTGTCATCTCACAAGGCTTTCAGAATCAAGCAACTGTCATACCACGGGAAGTGTAAGCCTACACACAGGAAAGGCATGGTAACAGCGTGATCAAAACAATGCACCTGTTAGGGCACTTAGCATGAGCTTGTGGGACTAGAAATCTCTCCTGTGTGTCTGGAGTGAGTGGTGAGTGAATATGAAAACCTTGGCTGTTACTGTAGTCTTTATATAAACACTTAGGCTGCACCGTAGTTTTTAAAAGATTAATTAATTAATTAATTAATTAATTAATTAATTAGAAAGGTAGGAGGAAGAGACAGAGAAATCTTCCCTCTGCGGGTTCAAATGGCTACACTGGCTAGGTCTGGGCCAGGCTGAAGCCAGAGCTCAGGAACTCCACCTGGATGTTCCACAGAAGGGGCATGAACACACGTGCTTGAGCCCACTTCCTCGGCTCCCCAGGGTGCTAACAGAGAGCTGGGTCAGAAGCAGAAGCTGGGACTTCAACTGACACTCTGATACGGGAAGTAGACATCCCGCGTGGAAGCCCAACCTGAAGTGCTGCAACACCCTCTCTCCAAATCGAGTTCATGAAAGGATGTCTTTTTTTTTTTCAGTATTTATTGTAACTATTCTACTTTACAAATGTAAAATATTTTCCAACGTTTTGATTCCTTTGTCATAATATTTAGCTTAAAACGGTTTGTGGGCCCGGTGTGACAGTCAGTCTAGTGGCTAAATCCCCGCCTTGCACACTCTGGGATCCCATATAGGGTGGTTTTGTGACCCGGCTGCTCCACTTCCCACCCAGCTCCCTGCTTGTGGCCTTGGAAAGCAGTTGAGGATGGGCTAAAGCCTTGGGACCCTGCACCTGTGTGGGAAACTCAGAAGAAAGCCCTGACTCCTGGCTTCAGATTGGCTCAGCTCTGGGCGTTGCCTGCCTGGGGCTGTCTCACAATTTACTTGAAAGTAAGAAATGTACAAATAGAGGGAGTACACACTGAAGCACTGATAGAAATACAGGGCGATAAATACACACAACATAACACTGCCTGTTGTTGCATATTATGTACCATAAGTGCTTTCATTTATTTAAAGATTTCTTTAATTTTATTGGAAAGGCAGATCAGTTTTGCAGAGAGAAGGAAAGACAGAAAGATCTTCCTTTCACTGTTTCACTTCCCAAGTGGCCACACTGGCTGTTTTTGAGTTTTATAATAAGCTTGTCAGTTTCTACAAAGAAGACTGTCAGGTTTCTGAAAGGGAATCTATAGATCTAAAAAATCTGATCTATAGACCGAAGAGGGAAAGGGACAGAACTGCAGGGGGACCAAGAGGCTAGGGGAGTAAGAGGGAGAACTGAGTCAAGGGGGACGAGCATGGTAGAGAGCCCCAGGAGTCAGTGAGTTCCAAAATAGTTTGCTTCAGAGCAACTAAGCATTTCAAAACTTTTGACTGTTGTTAATGCTACTGGTCTTTGGGACATAATTCCTGCTTCTTCCTTAGACTGTGGGGTTTAAGGAAAATTAGGAATGAGTATCCCTTCCACTTGAGTTTTGGAGCTTTTTTCCTAGTGATACTATTTTAGTTTTGACTCCTCCCAGAAGCAGAACCGGAGAGCAAAGCCTGGGAACAGGAGGTGCAGAAAATGGCCCCTGGGAGGAGTAACAGGCAGAACAGGAATGGGGAGATCCTGCGGGAGAATGAGAAAGTTTAGCAAACTCAAACTCTAAACTTAAATTCAGGGATATTGACAGTTAATATGCCCAAATGCTACCATTCAGCTGAACAGCAGGGTAAAATGAGATTAGTTCATTTTAAATAAATATCATTTAGAAAACCACCTGCTTGTCTCCCTTGTCAATATCCTCCTCTTCTTCCTTCACAGGTGTCTCTCCCTCTCCCAATTCCTGTCTCCCATCCCTAGGTCTCTCTATCCTGTGGACCCATCGTCTCTGTTCTCTGCTTCATTTCCTCTCTGGTCCTTTCTCTCTGTTTTGCTCTGTTCCTGGCTCCTTCCTTTGTTTTTCTGCATCACCATCTCCACCTCCTTCCCTTCCTGAATACTCTTGAACAAAGTTGCAAGTCGACCCATCCTCGGGGGGCACTGTTGTCCTGTGGCCCCACCTCCTGGTGTTGTCTCATAGGCAGGGGTGTGAAGGGTGGGATCTGACTCTTTTGCAAGTGTTGGGGAAGGAGGGTTGGCCTTTGACAGCTCAGGAAGGGAAGGGAGTGGAGGAGGGAAGGACACGGCTCAATGTCCCTTGTGGTCACGTGAGTAGAGTTGGCTCTTGTGAATGGTCCTGGGTTGTGTGACCTCCCTGGCTAGACTTCTCTCCCTGATCTCGGGTCTTCAGCTGGATTTGGAAGCTTCTTCATTCACAGCAGTAGAAAGAGATTCTAGGAGGAATCTCAGGTCCTCGCTGCGTCTCAGGACAACGCCAGGCAAGGCCAGCTCTCCTTCGAGGTGACTTGATTTGCCTCTCTGTGAAACCACCCAGACACATGCATTTCGTCGTATTGTAAAACCACTTTATTAGCAAAATGAACAAAAGGAGAATGGCATTTAAATTAAATAAATTACCCAAATATCTCAATAGAGGAGCTTCCCGGACATACCCAGGAGTTGCGTCATCACAGGTCAGCGTTACGAAAACATTCAAAAGTATTGAAATTCTGGATTATTCCATGACTTTGCCAACTCCCTTCCTGCCTCAGTCACGCCCAGAGGAGTCATCTGTGTGACATCTGTGTTGTTTCCAGAACGTTCCAGCAGTGGGATTTTCTTCATGGTATTCCTTCTGCTCCATGTATTTGCAATCACTAGAGTCTCTCAACTCCAGGCCACTGTGAGTCAGCAATCCCTTTTGGTTCCAGGGCTGGCCTGCGAGTGAGTGGCCGCCTCTTCAAGTCCTCAGGGGACACAGACATTTGGATCAAAGGAGTCCCTGGTCAGTCCTGAGGCTCTGTGACCTTTCCCGGCCTCCTGGGCAAGAGCTGGATGTTGCAGTAGGTGGAGCAGGGGAGGGTGAGTTGTCATTGGCTAAGGTTCTTGTCCTCCTGGAATTTGGCACTTCGAGTGCTGGGCACGGGGAATCCCAGATAACATTGTCCTCTGCTGTCCAAGTTTTGAGTTCCATTGGCAGCCACATGGCATAATGAATTCACAGAGGAGCAAAGCTCTTGGACCAAAAATGTGCTGGCTCCCTGCCCACCCCTGTCCTTTAACTCTCAGAAGACTTGCTAGCTGAGCAGCTCACTCAACACACAGACAGAGGGCCAAACTTAGGAACTGGGATGTGCTTCCAGGCAGGGCCAGCCCAACCTGATGGGCCAAGGGTCATCCACCTGAAGGAGGCTTTGGAGAAACAGTAAGGAGAAGCTGAATATTCTATGTATTTCCGTGGAAATTTTATAAAACACTTGTCCATGGAACATATTTAATTGCCAAGTCAATAGAGTGGGGTTAATTGCCTTCCTACAGACATGAAGGACTTATCTCTCATTTTGATCTTTCCTACAAGAAGGCCAGGGTCCTAAGAAGGTCCCATCTGGATGAGCCAGAGGGTCCTGGGAGATGCCCACTCTTACCAGTCACAGTTCCAGCACAAGGGCCTACAAGGGAGGGTTAAAACAATGGGCTCTTGGCTCTTGGGCGCTGAGGTCAGGAGGCTGCCAGGGCCCTGGACCCGCCAGTGTGCCCTGGGTTGGCACTAGTGCCCCTTAAAGCTGCTGTGTAGAACACTTGGGATTTGTTGTTAGCTTGCTGGAAGGGGTCCTGCCAGCCACTCTTCCCTCTTTGGGGTCCTACCCAAGTTTAATGGAAGAGAGAGGCCCCTGAGGGTGGGGAGGGTACAGTTCCAGGAGGCCGAAGTGCCCTGGGTGGGGTGGGGGGAGGTAGCTCTGATGGCTGGAGGACCTTGGCCCCCCCCTCCAGGGCTGGAATATGATGTGCTCAGAAGCAGTGTGGCACTCAGCAGCCTTCAGAGGGGTAGGGGAGGAATCAGGTAGCATTGCCAAGATACAGCCGCCTGAGTTTCAGGGAGCAGATGGTCCTTAGGGTGCACAGTCACCAGGGACAGAGTTGGGGTAGCTGGAGGGCAAGTCACAGAGTCGTCAGCAAGATTGTGCTTGGTCCCATGATGGCCTAACATACCACCTGACACCAAATCTTACAGGCCAAACGCCCTTTATGGAGCTTATACAAGTGGTCAGCATGGCTGAGCTTGTCTTTCTGTTCTTGGCTGCCTCTTGAAGTCCAGAAGCCAGAGTGTCTCACAGCTGCCACGGGAAGGGCATGCTGGTGGGGTGGCGGGAGCGGGAGGCCCGGTTCAAGGTTAGTCAGGGCCTTAGTGAGCTCCTGCCTGTAAGGGCAGACTCCTGCTGCAAGAGCGCCCTCTAGAGCTGCAGGGAGGGAAGGAGGCAGGGGGAGGGAAGAGGAGGGGGAACAGGCAGAGTCAGGTTCCAGCGGACACGCTCTTCTGTCCCGGTCACCGGCGGCACATGATCATGGCACGTCTATCAAGGCCATCCCGGGTGTCAGGTGCTCTGCAGGTGGTGTGGGTGTGGTTGGGTCCTCACAGGGCGGTCAAGGTCTCTGCGTGAAACATGCTCCCAAACATCTCCTGCAAGGAAAGAGGTGGGAAGTGGGAGCGTCACACCTGCTAGAGTTGGAGTGGAACGACTGCTTCGCAGGAGCGGCCAGAGAAGAGTGTGTGTGAGCACGGGTGCAAGAACAGGGGGCAGGTGCAGTCAGCAGGAGTGGCAGGGGAAAGTGCCAGCATCTGTGCTTCAAAGGTGCTGAGCTGGCAAGCTAGGCAATGGTTTGCAGCCTCATTGTAGTGAAAATGAGAGTTGAGTCCAGTCAAGCTCTACCGCTCTTTCCCACTGTGATGACCAATTTCACTCCTGGGCAGGCTGTTTGGGATGTGCTAGAGACTCCAGTGGGGATGGGGATGGAGTGAGGGGTGCAGACATCATCTGACACATCCTGATGGTTTCTGCCCTGTCTTCCAACCCTCCTCCCACTCGGGCCCAGATATGGGTGCTGGTTCTAATCCCAGCAGCTCCACTTCCCATCTAGCTCCCTGCTTGTGGCCTGGGAAAGCAGTCGAGGATGGCCCAAAGCATTGGGACCCTGCACCTGCGCGGAGACTGGGAAAGAAGTTCCTGGCTCTTGGCTTCGGATTGGTGCAGAATCGGCCGTTGCGGCCACTTGGGGAGTGAATCATCGGACGGAAGATCTTCCTCTCTGTCTCTCCTCCTCTCTTTACATCTGCCTTTCCAATGAAATAAATAAATCTTTTTAAAAAATAGAAGACTGTGGGACTCAACCTAACAAGAACAGCAGGTGAAAAAGAGAGAGAGAAATACTTCTAACAGTCCCAGGCCAGACTTCTTTACGTCTAGCCCACTGCTTCTTTTTAATTCAGGGCATGGGAGTGGTGCTAACTTCCGAGGTCCCATGGGAACACTAGCCCATCATAGCTCCACAGTGTCTGATCCTTAAGCCTGTCCACAAGCAATACTGATCTATCTGCACCCTTAGTGTTCCTTGGATTTCAACCAGAATAGCGATTCCTTAGGAGGAGTCTAGCTTTCACGGCCATTGCTCACCGTGCAACCGTCAGCCAAGAAGCAAGAGTTCCAGAAATGCCTGTTGAATTAACACAAGAACCAATGGCTCCCCTACTGCTTTGCAGAGGTTGAGACATTTCCTACAAATCTTGCAAGGACCTTAGCATCATGTACATTTTTGTTGGTTCGCAGATGCTAAAGCCTAGAGACCCAGTGGTGCCGTGTGGCCTGCCTGAAATCCCATGGCTGATGTGTTGGCAAGTTAAGAATAGATATCACTTCTCCAGGACTAGGTCCAGAGACTCTCCCTCCCCCCATCATGCTTCTCAGGCAGCGGGAAGAATTCAGATCTGCTATTAAAAGAACGAGGGGGAGGAAACTCAGATGCCTGCAAGGTGACTACTCTGGTTTGGAGGTGAGAGCGCTTAGGGAGCAATTTCCTGACACCTCCTCCCACCCTGCAGCTCTTGGCTGTTAGCTCACCTGCTCTAAGTCCCAGTAGCGCGGACTCTCCTCCTCTGAGTCGCACAAGGAGTGTTCAGTGTCCCCAGGAACCTGTAGGGGATAAGCAGGTGCAGAGCAAGCCTTGGTAGGGAGCCATGGTGGCCAGAAGACACCATGGCAGCCCCGGGTGGGTACCACATTTCCTGAGGCCTCACTGGTCCTCTTGTGCTTTCCTGTTCCTGTCTCACTGGCACACCCTGTATTTCACTGCTGTGATTCCCGCCCCCCACTCCAGGGGTGCATCAGGGTCTACCCTCCTTGGCAGGCCTGGAAAGGGAAGGGAAGTTGCCTGGCTTGCAATAGCAGCTTTGGCCATTTGCTGCTGTCTCTGAAAATCTGCTTCTCTCTCTATCAAATATCTGCCCCCCCCCGCTCCCCCTCCCTTCCTCTGATGGCCAGAAATGTGAGCACAAGAGTCTGACTGTACCCTGCAGGAGGGTGGTAGAGGGAGGATCTTCAAAGCCAGAACAAAATGCTTCTGATAAAGACTAGGCATAAACAGTTTTGCACTGCAGCATGGTTTGGTGCAGCAGCATTACCCCACTTGGGCCACCTGCATCCCTTATCAGAGTGCCTGCTTTGAGTCCCAGTCTTATTCCCAAATTCAGCTTCCTGATGATGCACATCCCAGGAAGCAGCAGGTGATGGCTCGAATCCTTAGGTCCCTGCCACTTCCTGGGGGAGACCTGTATTGAGTTCCCAGCTCCTGTATCTGACCCAGTCCGGCCATGCAGGGAGTGAATCAGCAGATTGCAGGCAGCTGTTTTGGTTTGTCTCTAGCTTTAGCTTTCTGTCTTTCAAATATATAAAAATGTCTACAGTTGTCTTGCAGCAAGCTAAACTCCTTTTCTAATTTCTGTGAACTTCTGATGTTTTCTCATATAACATAAATTATAAACAATCAGTGCTGTGTATCACAGGGATCCTCGTGACAATAACTATGAAAATTCTGTCTTTGCACAACAGCACAATGGAGGAGTTGCTCCCCCATGACTGAGGCCCTGGGTCCTCGCTGGGCAGTCTCTCAGGGCCTGAAACAGGTGGTTTCTCCTTCAGCAGCCTCCTGAGGCAAAGAACAAGTTGGTACCCCAGGGCCAGCAAAGCCTTTCTTGTGTCTGACCCATGGCAAGAGGGGAGGACTACACACAAGACTGGGGCAGAGGTCATTGGCAGGGTCTGAGCTGGGAAGGACCTTGGGGAGTGACAGGTGACTGGGGAGGCCTGGGTAGGGACCCCAGAGGGGTGGAATTTTCCTGACTCCTCATCTTTCTGAAGTCCTAGGCAGTGCTATTTGTATTTCAAATGCTAAGAAGCTGTGGTAAAACTCTTCACCTATCTCCAGGCTGGAACTGCTGAGCTCTGCTAAATTGCCATAGGCAGGCTTGCTCCTCACCTTCCCCAAACCCCTTTTTGAAAGAGGGAAGGAGGAGGTGGATGGATAAAGCCAGGACACTTGGTCCAGCATGCTAAGCTTTGCTTATTTGTGCAATCAGGAAGTTAATATTCATAAAGGAATTTTGCAACCTGAAACATGTTTTCAAGTGGTATACAATATATAATTATTATTTAATCCTCAAACAAAGGCCAAAGTGAAACTCTGTGAGCTAGGCAATGACAGGTGATTTGCCCATTCTACAGATGAGGAAAGGGGAAATGGCTGGCCTGGAACCCAAGCCTTCTCTCATGTTCTTTCTCACATCCCTTGGTCCTCTTATTGCAGGTGCCTGGGGGCCTAAGACTCCCAGCACACGGATCTTACCCCTTGGAAGCTGGGTCCTGGGGCTGTTTCTCTGGCATCTGCTTGGGCGAAGAGGACTGCATCGTGTGTGCTGGGGAAGATGTGGTGGCGCTTCAGACACCCGTCATCAAAGACACCACCGTGACTGAGGTCATTGTACACCTGGGCTGCAGGGAGGAAAGACCTTCCTCAGTAAGAAGGAAGCAGCTGTGGTGGACTGGAGCTGGGTGGCGTGGGAGGGGTCAGAGGGGCAGTTCCTGAGACCAGAGCAGATTGAGAAGGGCAGAGAGGCTCGGGATGGCTGTGGCCACATCCAAGGATAGCGACATCAGCATTGCACTATCAGGTCTGGACGACAGGGGGCAACATGAACTTGGGAATCCAGGATCTTCCACTCAGGGCAGTCAAAGTGCAGTGGGGATTGGAGGCAAGGCTGGCGCATTCACTAGGAAGCTGCTGCCAGTTCTGTCCCCAGGGGGCCTGTTCTTTCTCCACTTTCCCTGGACCTTTCCTGCAACTCCCAGAGGAGCACAGCAAGGCCCTAACATCCACTGATCCTGGAGATGGCTTCCCAAGGGAGCATCTCATGGGAGGGGGAGGAGTCCCCTGGCAGCAGGTCCAGGCTATCACAATTCCCTCCCCAGGGGGCACTCCACAGCCCTGCAGGAGAGATTTGATCCTCTGCAAGGAGCTGGACTGTCATGCACCTGCCTCTCTGCAGGTGCTTGGTGTGCTTTGCAGATGTGGGAGTCCCAAGAATGCCTGCTGTTCTGTGACCAGGTCCTCCTGGCTGTGGTGGAGTACATGTGTGTAACACTATGTGTCCGTACAATCCCTGGGCAACCATGGTGTGCGTGTGCAGATCCACAGACACTTTTCTGATCTGGAGAGGGTTCCTGAAATAATCTAGTCCATCCCTTTGCTTTCTACACATGGAAGTGTGTGCTTTTTTTGAGAGAAAGTAACATGGTACCCAGATGACCTGGTAAGCTTGCCATGGAGTTGATGGGAATCCAAGCCTTCCCTTCTCAAGTCTGTGACCCCCAAACTTCTCGCCTAGAATTTGGTCATGCCTTTTGCCTTGTGTCTGAAGCTCCACCAGCAGGTGGTAGCCTGAAAGGGGAGGATACTGAGGTGCTGTCATTTCTCCCCTCCCTCTTTGTAGCCCCAGCACCCTGCTTCCATTTGAGTCCCTCGGCCAGTCTTTCACACCTTCATCCAGTGCCACCCCCTCTTCTTACCGTGGATGTTCACCAGGAAGACCTTCACCCCGATCTTCTCATAGGTGGAGCCCAGCTGTCAGGGTCGCAGCAAGAGGTGGGGAGGGAGAGAGGGAAGGAATGTTCTGAGTGGGACTCAGAAGTGATTCACAAAACACTCTTCAAAGGGGAAGCCAAATAAACAGGCAAGCCCCAGAGCCCCGGTCGCATGGATAAAAATAGCAGCAAAGCACACCACTTCTGCTTCGAGTGCTGCTGCTGCCGGAAGCTGGGTGTAGCCATGGCCCTTGCCTGTTCAGGTCTTCACTCTCAGTAACTTTGATCCCTTGATTCCACCTTTTTCCTCACTTAGAGGCTTGAAGCAGGTGCCCCAGGGGAGGCCAGTGCCTAAGAGGCTGCAGCTTCAGCCAAGGAAGGCTGGGAGTACAGGTTTGAAGCCCACCGTCTTCTCTCTCCAGCCAGCACATGTTCTGTGCTCCTTTGCCCACCCTCCCCGGCTTGCCCCGGGTGGCTTTCCTCTGAGTCCCCTGAGGCTTGCTAAGCCCAGCCATTTCATCCAAGGTGGTCACATTTATTCAGGGTGCCCTGGGGCTGTCTGAGGCTGTGGGCCCTTGGGGCTATGTCTTCTCCTGTGCTAGGTTGGCAGGTGAGTGCAAGCAAGCACAGCTGGCCATGAACGGGCAGGGGGGCACACTGGTGGGGTCCCTGAAAAGGATCTTGGGTTGGCCTCTGCTGGCATGGTGGGACAGTGGGGCCTGGAGCTTAGAACCCTCTCCAGTGACTAGCTGTCATGGGTTCTCAACCTGCCCAGCAGGGAAACTCCCTGTCTAAGTCCTATCTTGCCAAAGGAAGGGTCCTCAGGACTCTGCCCTTGCCCAGTGTGTTGAAATGAGGGGAGAATGGGAGTAGCCCCCTACTCCTGAGACCCTCACCTTGGCCAAGGCTTTGATACCCATCAAGTCCACGAAGCTGACCCCACTGAGGTCGAGGATGAGGGTGTGGAAGGTCATGAAGGGGGGGACCCCAGCCAGTGTGTCACTGAGCTCCCCAGGAAGTTCAGCAGGGGCCTGGGCCTCACACGGTCCAGGGGAGGGGGCACTGGGGGCGGCTGGGCTGAAGTTGACATAGGAGATGCTGGTGCCATTGGCGGCAGGTGTCTGGTTGTTGTTGGGATCGGTGGGGGAAGGGTTCTCGAAGTCCTGTTGGAGTTCCTGCAAGGAGACCGTCTGGGGGTGTGGGAGAGGAGGAGGGAGGGAAGCAAAGTCAGTGCTGCTGGACCTGCACCTGCGGGGCCAAAGAGGCTATAGGTGGAGGGGGCAAGTCCTGGTTATTGTGAAAAATCTCCTCCCACAGCCCCTCAGCCCCTACTTGGGGAAGAATCCCCTGGGGAGAAAGCTGAGCTCCATTTTGCTTCTGTCCATGTCTGACAACTTCTTCCCCCTCATCCCCAGCTTGCCCAGGACTGCTGGCTGGGTGGGTGTCTCAGAAAATCCACACTGCTCCACGCCAGGCAGTGTCCTGGCTTAGACAGAAGGTGGGCAGGGACCTTGGGCATTCAGGGGTTACCATGAGCCCAGTACTTGAACCACACAGACTTTCCATCTGTACCCTCAGGATGCTGGTGGTGTAAGGGATGGGGCAGATGCTGGGGGAGAAGAACCAGGTGTGGTAGCTGTTCCTGGCCTCAGTTCACCTTGGTTTTCATGAAGAGTGACTTCCTCTGTTGTGTCGGCACCCTCTTCCTCTTCTCCTGCTTTCGAAGGTATTTCTGCTTGGCCAGTAATATCTTCTGGGGGTCCGTACCTGTCTGCGAGGAGACAACCGGCAATGACCTTGACCTGTACCCTCTTTGAGGGGTGGGCCTGCTCTCAGCTCCCAGCCTTTCTCTGTCTGAGCCTTTGGCCACTGGGGACTGAGCCTCACCTTGGAGATGACCTTTTGTCTGAAGATCTCTGAGTTGGCGAAGTAGAGAGGGGAGCAGTAGGTGACGATCTTAATCCCCTCGATTTCCTGGACCTGGGAGGGGGAGATTGAGCTCAGATGGCAGGCCTGGTCTTCACTGGCTTTTGTTTTCCTCTTTTAGTTTGAGAGGTAGAGACAGAAGTAGATGAGAGGGTCCCCATCTACTGATTCATCCCCTGAGATGCCCCCAATAGCAAGGATGGGGCCAGGTCAAAACTTGAAGCCAGAACCCAGTGGGTTTGACATATGGATGGCAGGAGCCCAGCCACCTGAACTATATCCTGCTGGCTCCCTGGGTCTGCGTCTGTAGCGTCTTGGATTACTCACCCTGCTATAGGCCTTGGGATTCACATAAATGTCCGTGTCCATGATCTGGCCCAGAGCATGACCATTCCGACTGCAGAAAGGAGAAAAAAATAAAAGATCCTAAGACAGGGTTGGTGATCTGTGTGTCAGAAGGATGCTAGGGTGGGGCTGGGGCAGAGCCGGTGTGAGTGTCAGGAGGAGGGTGTGCCCAATACTCAGCCCAAGATCTGCTGTATTAGTCTTTCTGTGTGCTGGAGATGCCTGGGGTCTGTGGTTAAGGCTAGAACCTGGGGGGCAGCAGGCAGGTCCCTGTTAAGACTCCTATGTGGGGCTCAGGGAGGAGAAGTGATGTGGGGCACATAAGGTGACAAGTGTCACTGGCCCTGGCATCATGGAGCACCTCCCTGAACCCCTACCCTATTGCAGGATATTACTGGACTGTGAACAACTGTGATTCCATCTTAATCTCCTGATGACCCAAGCCCCTATCCCCTTGAGCAAGAGCTGGGGAAAGGACAAGGTCTGGATACATGACCTATGAATCATGTTTATTCCGGTTACAAGACTGTTCCTGGCTGTAACCCCCAACCATAACACTGCTTACAGCTCCCACCTGTGTTGTCTGTGTGCTTATCTGATGAGCAGTGTCTTGTTTTTCACCACCTCATCTGGTTTTTCTTACTCCCCAGAATGTGGTCTGAGCATCACTTTGAAGGCTCGGGGCAGTAGTCTATCAGCATCTTGCTGTATGGCTGCCATCCCTGCCATCCTGGCTGGTGAATAAAGACTCCTGAGCTTCTAACACTGGAGTCATCACTGCCAGGTTCAGAGTCCTTAAGGCAGTTTCCCTTGTAATCTGCACCCCTTTGTCTTGGCCTGCACTCCATGTCTCCATTCTCCTGGACTTCTCCTTCCTCACCTTTCCTGTAGGGCAGACCGTGCAGCTGTTCTTTGCCCTGATGTTCTGGGCTAGGCTTCCTGGCCAGGGATTCTGACAATGGCTGTGCAAGGATGCTGATTCCCATCCACCTGCTCTTTCCCTACTTTCTCACCCACCCTCAGACCCGAGTCCTCTGGGGCCATGCTGGCCTTCCCTGAGGTGGTTAGTTAGCCAGCCCAGCCTGTGTCCACAGTCCTGGCTAGGTCAGGCTCTCCAGACTCAGGACCAGAAAGCGGAAGGCCCAGTGGGCTGAGTTGGCCCCCCAGGAACCTCCTCTGTGGTGCTATTACTTACAATTGGGTCTGGAAGACCACCACCAGGACGGAGAAGGCAACCCCCACTGCCACCCCATACGGCAGGCTCAGGAAGAAGGAGGAGAGGAAGCTCACCACCCAGACGCACTGTGAGGAGAGACATGTCAAAATCAGGCTGGGGAGAAAGCTGCCTGTTGCAGGAAGTTTTCCTGGATTAGCCAAGATCCACCCCTCCCTTTTTAATGCATTTAAACATTTTGCAATATCTGACACATTGCACACAACAGGGAGGCAGCTTGATATAATAACAGCATGCATCCTGGGTCAGACACGCTTGGGTTCAGAGTTTTGGTTCTCTGCTAGTTCTGTGAGCCTTGGTTTCCTCAATACAAAGGGGGGAATAACAACACCTACTTCCTGTGATGATGAAACAGGTGGGGACTTTAAGCTGCTAGCCTGGTGACCAGGACCTGTACATCACTACCTTTTTCCCCCTTAAGACTTACTAGTTTATTTGAAAGAGTTACTGAGAGAGGGAGAGAAAGATAAATGGTTACACTGTCCATGGCTGAGCCAGGTTGGAAGCCAGGAACCAGGAGCTTCTTCCGGGTCTCCCACATGGGTGCAGGGCCCCAAGGCCTTGGGGCCATCCTCCTTCCTCCTTTGCTTTCCCAGGCACATCAGTAGGGAGCTGGATTGGAAGTGGAGCAGTCAGGACATGAACCAGCACCCATAAAGGATGTTGGTGTCACAGACAGTGGCTTTACCCACTATGCCACAATGCAGGCTCCATCGTCCCTGTCTCTTAATAGCTTGTTGCACATTCCTGGCCTGATGACTTGGGCCTGCCTGAGTGGGAAGAGGAATGGACAGAGTTGGATTTGTTCCGTTTTAGGGAAACCCCACTTCACCTATAGGAAGCTGTTGGGGGAACTCTGGTGAAGATTACATGGGAACCCAGAGCACAATGGGAACATGAGGGGCGTGGTCAAGCAGGCAGAGGACTGGAGGTGGGAAGAGCAGATCCCCAGGCAGGGAAGTAACATGGAATCTCTTCCCCAGCTACATCCTCACTGGGGACCCCTGTCCTCCACAATGGAGCTCATTTCTCTTGCTTTAGAATTCCTTTCCCTACCACCCTAGGCGGTATGTGTGTAGGGGGTGAGCTTGTCTCCCAAGGAAACAGCCCAGTTGAGAGCTCAACACTTAGAGCTCTGGGGCTAGGACTGTGGTGCACCTGGTTAAGCCACCATCTGTAATACTGGTATCACATGTGAGCTCTGCTCCCGATCCGCCTGGATGTTGGCTCAAGTGCATGGGCCCCTGCAACCCACCAGGAGACCTGGATGGAGTTCCTGGCTCCTGACTTCAGCCTGGTCCAGCCCCAGCCATTGTGGGCATTTAGGGCGTCAACCAGTGGATTTTTTCCCCCTCTTTCTCTCCTAGTAACTCTGCCTTTCAAATCAATAAAGACATCTTTTAAAAAACAAAGACTTGGAGCCATGCAGACACTGTACTTCCTGAGCCCTGGCTTTGTCATCTTTAAAGGAGTAGGTCCTCTCATGATCCTGATGGGACTTAACCAAGACCATCGGCCTCGTCTGTGCAGCCTTTGCTGCTGGCACCCAGTGGTAGGGGAGTGTGTAAGGCACTAAGTCACACCTGCACGCTGCCTGGTGCCTTCCTACCTTGAGTGGCTCTAATCCACAGCGCCAGCATGTGACGCAGCCATGACTACACCCATGTTTCCAAATGGTAAGCCAGGACCCTAGGGAAGTACTGGCCCTTGCTCAAGTCCCTGCTCCCTCAGTTCTATGTTCTAGGCCCTTTTTGTGAACCAGCTTCTTCTGTGTTGGGGCTACAGTTGCGATAGTGGACATGAGCTTCACTGGACATGAGCTACAACTTGGACAAGCAGCTTACACATGTCCTTTTTTTTCACTCTGATAAGCAACCAGAGGGGCGTGGGGGATATAAAATACCCATTCCACAGATGGGAAAGCTGAGGTTCAGAGCATTGTTACTTTTGGCTGCAGAGCCAGCTCAATGGCTGAATAAGGATTTGGACACAGGCTGTTAATACTCTGGGACCTGGCTCTGAACCCCCATGGGTGGAATGTCAGGCCTGGGCTCCCCCCGAGGGCTGCAAGGGTGGGGCTGGGTACCTACGCAGTCCAGCTTGTTCTTCTTCCACAGGTAGTAGGGGTCGGTGAGCTGCTTGAGGGAGTTCTTGAGGTTGACAGAGATCAGAGCTCCTAGCACAGACTGGAGAAGCACAACATTGCTCCGTGTCACCCACACTGTCACTTCCTTCCTGTGCTTCCTGCACAAATTGACCCTGAACCCTGGCAGGACAGAGAGCTGGAGGTCCAGGACACCTCCCTGCAGGGACCCACCCACCCCCAGCCTCCATCTAAGCTTGCCAAGAGCCAGGCACCAGAGCCAGGGGTCTGTCCTAGTTCCATCTGTGCGTTCTCTTGCTTCTTGTCCCTAAATGGCCTGGTGCCTAAGCTCTCTAGCTGGTCTGTGGGGGGTGCTGGCACACATGCGCTCATCAACACTGCCTGGGCACAGGCTCAGAGGCTAGAAGGCTGGATTGCTCTCTGGACAGAGCATGTAGACACTCTGAGGTGCAGTTGTCCTCATCTGTAAAATGGGGAGAGTAAGTGTGGCCATCAAGGCACCGTGTGATCTGCAAAGGGCCCCCAGCTCTTCAGGGACTGCTCTCATATGGTTGGGGGGTGTTTTCTGGCTGTCTTCTGCTCTCCCCTTACCTTGGGGAGGGAGTAGAGATAAGAGCCCAGAACCAGCATGGTGACCATGACAACCAGAGACACGCACAGGCTTGAGATCTGTTCAGAGAGAGTTGGAAACAAGTGAGTGTGAAATGCTGCCTCTGGATCAATTTCCGACAAATGCCTTTGGCAGAGGGGAGATGACGAAGGTGAAGTGGAGCTGACCTGCCTGCAGGGCCATTGCTCTGCGGTCACATTCTCTCTGTCCCCAGTCCAAGACTCACCTGGGATTTCCCTCCTGCTGCATCCACAGCAAGGGTGACCGACAGAGCACAGCAGATGACGTGGATTTTAAAGAAAGAGCCGAAGAAGTTGCTGCATCCCAGGGCTATCATCTCCTGTGGGAAGAGGGCGGGACTGGGGAGGCAGGGGCCAAGGGCATGCAGCTGTGTAGGCCACATCTGGAGCCCAGGATTGGACGGTGACGCTGTCGCTGCAGTCACACATGCCCAGGTAGGAGGAGGCTAGCCCTTAGGAGCCAGGGTCCCCTAACACCCTTTGTCTTGGCTCAGTCTGCAGGATGCCCAAAATGTCTTTCTGGTAGGCCCTCACTCTGGGGTGACTGGAGCTACCTGGTTGGGATCCACGTCATAGCCGTGCTTGTTGGCCAGGGTCCGGCCCATTGCCAGGTTGATGACGTAGCTCACAATGGCTAGGGAGAAGGCTGTGCCAATCATGTCCTTCCACTGGGAAACCACAGGTGATACTGGAGAGGGGAACCTGCCAGGAAGGAGGGGTCCAGGGATATAAGCACGGGCAGGGAAGGCTCTCGGGGAGAAGTCAGACCCTCCCGGCCCCCTCTGGGTTATAAAGGATCCTCACTCAACCGAGGTCTCAGGGCTGGAGGATGGCAGGGCCTCCATTGCTTATACCCAGACTCTGGACCTTTCACTCTTACAACTCTGCAGATCCTAGGCCCTCAGTGCTGAGGGGTTTTTCCTCCCTCACCTGCTCCACCTCTGCTGAACAAGCAGCACTTGTCCCCTTCCAGGACCCTGCATGCTGCATGGTATAGCCTGGACACTAAATGGACTTGGTTGATCTTGCCTGGCAATTCCTTTTCCATTTGGTGAAGAGCTGTTAGAACCAGGCCCAGCCAACAAGCACACACTGGGAGAGGCTGGGATGGTTCTTGGTTAGAGGGACAGCATGGCCAGTACTGGCTAGGCTTCAGCCCTTCTCAGGAGTAAGTAATAGTGACAGGTGGCACATGGTCAGTGGCATGCAGTGTCCTGGGCCTATGTTGGTAGTGAGGCGGGGTGGGGCCAGGGTTCTGAGTCGCTGAACTCACCCTTGCCGGATCTCTCCCACAATCGGCATGTGGTATTTCTGGGGCATCTTAAAGCTGGCAGAGATGGCTGTGGCCACCACCACCTGCAACCCCAAAGTGCAGAATGAGCATTAGCCATAAAGAGGGACCAATCTCTCCCAGGTTCCCTTTGGGGATCTCAACTTGGAATTTTTGTGTATGTGTGTCGTGGAGGGAATGAGGGATGAAGGGGACAGCCCAAGGACCTGGAAAGAGATGAGCCACATTTAGGGAGATATTGCTGTGTCACTGGCTGCTAGGGGAGAGGACGCGGCGGGGACAGGCGGGGACCCCCAGATGCGCTGCTCACCACGATCATCTCTGTGGGGATGGGGAAGTGGATCTTGTGCATGTAGCGAGCATTGAGTTCCTTCACCACCACCAGCACGACTCCACTGACGAGTGCAAAGACCAGTGAGGCAATATTGGTATCAGGGAGCTTTTTGCAAATGTCAATGAAGGTCTGTAGAAAAAGCATCAGGCTTCCATCTCCCAGCCCTGCTGCCTCTGTGGCCCCCTCCCCTCCCTCGGTGATGAACAGCATCCTATCTGCCACCGTCCCCATAGGGCTCCTCAGGAGCCCACGGGCAGACAGGAATGTTTTTTCTTTCTCACAAAGAGGTCAAGGTGGGCCAGTGTCATGACGTAGCAGGTTCAGCTGCTGCCTGTGAGGCTGGCATCTCGTATGGGCTCTAACTCACGTCCCATCTGCTCTACTTCTGATCCAGCTCCTTACTAATATAAGGAAGGCAGCAGAAGATGGCCCAAGTGCTTGTACCACTATGCCCATATGGGAGACCTGGATGGAGTTCCTGGCTTCGGTCTGTCCCAGCCATGGCCATTGCCATCAATTGGGAAATAAACTAGTGTTCAGAAGATCTCTCTGTCTCTCTTTCTTTCTGTGATTCTACCTTTCAAAAATATAAACAAATATTTAAAAATCATTTATTTTTAAAAGCGAAGGAGAAGGAGACACAGAGAGAGGTCCTCCATTGACAGGTCCACTCCTTAAATGGCTGCAGTGGCTGGAGGTAGGCCAGTCTGAAGCCAGGAGCTAGGAGCCCCTAATGGATCTCCCTCATGGGTACAGGAGCACAAGCACTTGGGCCATCCTTTCCTGCTTTCCACGGCTTATTAGCATGGAGTTGGATCTGAAGTGGAACAGCTGGGACTTAAATTAGCTCCCATATAGAATGCTGATGCTGCCTGTGGTGACTATACCTGCTATGCCAAAAGCACCAGTCCCCATGTTAAAAAAAAATGCTTAAAATAAAATTCAAACTCATTGAGGAGCGACACTTTAGATCTGTGAAAGGACTTCCCAGGCAGAGTGGAGTCCCTGATGGAGTGTCCATCTGCTGCCAGAGAGCCCCTGATATCAGGCACCTACCCTCCCTCCATGGTGGGACTCTCCCCTCACATTCTCCAGGAACAATGGCTCAATCACCCTTGCTAGGCTCCCTGTTCCTGCTCTTGTACCTGAGGGGGCCCCGACACCCACCCCCTGCCGGGCACTTCCCCCCCCCCCACTCACAAAGACAATGGACCCTGGGCCTGAGTAGGAGGGGATGGTCAGTCCGAAGACATATTTGAGCACTGAGATCAAAATCTGCAGGCCAGCTGCTGTCATGAAGCCGCGGATGAAGGACTCGGAGAGGTAAATGGCCACAAAGCCGAACTGCATGAAGCCCAGGCCCATCTGAACGGAGGGAGGAGCGGGGAGATCAAGGTGATTAAAGGTGAGACATTAGTTCTGCAACCAGCCCCACCCTAACCCACCCCTGAGTCCCGTACCACCCAGGGAGTCCTCTGACCTTAGCCTGCCCTTTGCTATGCCTTAGGCGCCCACCATCAGCCCTTCAGTTTCTTAACATCTGGCTCTTGCCTGCCTTCCCAGCACCTCCTTGTGCCCGCTCTGCCCTCCACAGCTGAGTCCCTGGTCAGGCTGCATTCTCCCAGTCCTTCCTGTTTCAGGGGGGTACTCCCTCTGCCAGGACCATCCTTGCATACCTGGTTCACTGGCCTTTCGATTCACATCTGCTCATCCTATAAGACTGAAGCTAAAATTTACCTCCTCATGGAGATCTTCTCTGATTCTTCCTTCCTCGTTCTTACAGCTAATTCAACACAGAGCCTACTCTGCAGCTTATCTCACCACATGCTGACATGGCTACTTCCTCCAGTGGGCTGGCAGCACCATGTGGACTTGGCCTCTTTCTTACTTATCTTTGTATCCTCAGGGCCTAGCCCAGTTCCTGGCACACACACACATGAATGGATGAGTGAAAAAGGCCCTCTGAGCTTGCGCCTTGCTCCTGGATTCCATCCCACTGGGCTTCCTCCCTAAAACTCTGCAGAACCCCTCACAGTCCCATGTACCAGCTCAGTGTATGTCATTCAATTGGTGCCTCATGGAATAAGGGGACTGCCAGGAGTAAGGGCTATTTGAGGTCCTTAGAGGCCTGGAAAAGGGTGTGGGCAGAGCTGGGCTACTCCAAGTATAGGAGAGAGAGAGTCTGGGAGCCTATTAGGCAGTCATTAAGCTCAGGTGCCATAGCTGGCCGTACACATGAATGAGAGAAATTGTCAAAAAGCCCACGGATGGGCTAGCATGTGGTGCCATGTGCAAAGCTGCAGCCGGCAGCACTGGCATCCCATATTGCAGCAGCAGGTTGAGTCTTGTTGCTCCACTGCCTATGTGGCTGGGAAGGCAGTGGAGGATGGTCCAAGTGCTTGGGACCCTGCCACCCACACGGGAGACCTGCATGGAACTCTGGGCTCCTGCTTTGGCCTTGGCCAATCCTTTAGAGTGAACCAGTGGATGACAAAATTTTCTTCTCTCCCAAACACACACCTCTATCATTCTGCCTTTCAAATAAATAATAAATCTTTAAAGACAAGTTATAGGGGAAAATGAACTAAAAAGATGTTTATTTCATGTAAAAAATTGATATCCATGTATAACATTTTCATAATATGTGTTTTCCATGAGCTTTTAAAACTCTGCTTGTATGCTCCTAGCAGGACTGTATGAATTTTCTAGGTATTTTCTGACCTTGGGAAGAGCCCACATTCCCCTATACTGAAGCTGAGGCAGAGTGGTCTGATGCCCTGATAGGTGGGCTCTGGCACGGGTGGGACCGCCCCCTCACCTGGATGACAGCGGTCAGGCATGCGAGTGTCGCTGACACATGCAGCCTAGCAGCCTCCATGGCTGCTGTGTCCACATAAGTCTCGTTGGTAGCATTATCGAAGATCTGGAATTTCGACTCTGGGGCCAATTGTAGGCACACGTTGCCCACCAGGATGCTGATAACAGCAAAGGTACCTGTGGTAACCCCCCACCCAGGCAGCGAACTTTAGCAATTTAAACCATGTTCCTGGACACCAGCCAGGGGTCCAGGAAGGCTTCTAGACCTCTGGGATGGGGAGCAGGAAAAGGTCTCCTCTGCAGGGTGGGGTGGGGAAAGGTTCCTTCTCTCCAAGGCCCCTCTCCTGCATAACAGCCTCCCCATGCATGCACTTAGCATGGAGCTGCAAACCCCCACCCCCACTGAACCCAGTAATGAATGCTAAGCCTGAACCAAAGGCCAGCCCTCTTTTTCAGAGAGGTGACTTGCTGGCACCTGTTTAACCCTTTACAGCTAAGGGAGAAGGAACAGGTGGTACTAGCTGAGTAAGCTTGCAGAAGCTCCATGGTCTCTGCAAGGTTGCCAAGGACCTGGGGCTGACTCAGCAACTGACCCTCCAGGACCTCCAGCACCCTCTCTAGAAGAATACCCATGGCAAACCACCTGAACCTCCCTTTACCCCGTGTCCTGGCCATTGTTAAAGTTAAGGGAATCAGGAGAGAAGTGGTCTTACCTGGCACCATCTGGTGTATACCTCCCAGGAAGAAATAGATCAGGAGGGGAAAAAAGGAAGAGTATAGGCCGTTGACTGGAGGAAGATTAGCCAGCAGAGCGAATGCCATGCCTGCAGAGGGCACAGAGGTTCAAGGCTCAAGAATGCTGCTGGCTCATGAGATCACAGAGGGGTGGGGGAAGGAAACCAGGAGCCTTGGGCCAGGTCTAACTGAGGGAGATCCCCCTCACCTTGTGGGACTTGGATGCAGCCTCCGCTGAGTCCCCCGAGGACGTCAGGGATGATGTAGTCTTTGATCTTATACTTGGGCAGCCAGGAGAGCACAGGCAGCAACCCAAAGAGTAGGGATTTGAACTTGGCAGGGGAACATCTGGAAGGGGAAAGGGAGGCTTCCAGGTGGCTGTGTAAAGATTCGCAGAGGGATTGGCACATCCCATTCATTCATCTACTAGCTCCTTTGTTCAGAATTCATTAGGATTTCAGGCAGGTGCTGAGCAGCAGGCCTGGGATGTATTCCAGGGAAACAGAGGAGAGGCAGAGACTTTGGGTTAGGAGCCCAGACATGCCCTGGGCTCTGGCTGGAGAGCAGCTGATTGCAGCTGCTCACCTGGGAAATTGACACCCTTTGATGCCACAGAGGCCCCAGGCTCTGAAGTGTCGGTCCCCTCTTTGGCTCACGTGACTTGTCTCCAGAGTTGGCCCCTTTGAGTTCCTGCCTGATCTTAAGCAGGCCTTGGACAGCCTTGGCTGGGCTCCTGTAGCCTCATGTGCACCCAAGGCCTTTTGTCCGTCTCTCCTCACCACAGAGCAAACCCCACTGAGGAGGCAAGAAGTCAGTCTCTCATGAGCATCCTTACACCTTAGACATTACACAGGATGCTTAGAGAATATTTGTTGAGTGCACAAATGGCTTAATAATGGAAGGCTGGCTGGCCAGTGCTTAAGCTCAGCCGCTACATTGCTTTGAGCTTCCTATTCCCTGCCCTGCCAGAAGAAGGCTGTGTCCCTGCAGGGTTTGCCTATGCTGATGTGCTATCCCTTACTCCAGTAGAAGGTTCTCCGGCACCTTGCTAGTTCACAGCAGCGGGGGTGGGGGGGGAGATGGAAGGAGGAGAAAGTGCTGCAGGATCCACATGAGCTGCAGGGAGAGCTGATCCCTTCCCTGTTTGTTAAACACTTTCACTGAAACTCAGAGCGGTAAGAACAAGGGCCTCCGAACTCCCGGTGACAGCCGGTGGATTGATGACGGCCGCGGGGCCGGGGAGGGCATTTACTTTTCTTTTCCCAGTTGAGGGAACTCAAATACCCACGTCTCATCTGGTGACTCACCGACCTGCTCTGATTAGGCCCCCTTTCCTGTCCAGCACCCGCTCCTTCTCTCTACTGTTGCTCAACAATAGTCCCCCTGACACAGGGTCCCCTGGATGTCACCCAAGATTGAAACTAACACAGGCAGTGCTTTGTGTCCTGGAACGCTTGGGCAGATTTTTTTCTACTCCAGTGAATGCCACTGTGGAGCAGCTTCGCCATCAGCATCTTCCCTCCCTCCCCACTCTGCCACATCAAGGCTCCTTTGGGGCTCACAGGTGCCCCTCTGGTCCCTGGCATGGTGGGAGAGGAGTTGGATGAACAGTCAGCTGCTGACAGCATCTTTAAGGCCTTGTTCCACATTTGTTTGCAGCAGACCAAAGCACTCTCAAGAATACAGAGCTGGAGCTGGAAAGGAAACCACTCCTTCAAGAGCTAGTCCATGCCTGGCCTTACTTGCAAATCAGCTATATGTTGGGCAAAGTGATCCAAAGCTTAAAAGCAGGGATGCAAACAGACGCCAAACACTGCGTAGAGGGCCAAAGGCTGACAGGGTGGTGGAGGGAGGGATTAGCTTTGTAGAGATCCACTCATTCATTACTTTATTCAACCAGCACATGTCAGTCGTGCCAGGCCCTGCTCAACACTCTCGTGCTGGCACTATGGGTGTTGTCACCCACATGCCTTTGCAGGTCTTATCATCCCTAATCCTTTAAGGATGATAGCAGAACCCTTCATGCCCCTTTTCCTCCGGCACAGAAGCAACCCCACTTAAACTCTTTGGATGAAAAGGCTTGCAGACCCCACCTTGCTGAGGGGTGCACCTGTGGGCACAGTGCCCCAACACCGGGCACCCAAGGGCTTGACTGTGACTGGGCAGAGGTGGGAACTCCCAAAAGAATGGGCTGGGTTGGGCCTTTTAGTAAAACTCAAGTGGGTGATTCCCCGGCCCGAACCAGTTCCTCTTGCATCTCCACTTGAGAGCCATTGCCTGTGACCTCAATCCAGGTAACTAAATCAGCTGCCTCCTCCCTGTCTCTCCCCCACCCCACTCCCTGACTGAGGGAGAATAAGCCAGGCAACAGCTGGGCCTGAGCAAGGACTGCCAGGAGTCTGCAAAGGGGGAGGCTGCTCATAGCCTGAGGCTCCTGGGTTTTGGGTAGAGACTACCTGTGTGTTTCTTCCTTAGAGCCCACGTTTCCCTCCCCACCGTCCTGGAAAGAGTACGGGGGCTGACAGGCCCCCTTTAATGGGTGCCCAGGACTTTGTCAGGCACAGGAGAGAATTTTCAGAAAGGAGAGGACCAAGATGTAGGCCTCAGATTTCATTTGCTAAGGAGGAAGCTGGATATGGAGGAGAGGTGGTTCTCATCCTTCATCAAACCCCTACCAAGTATATTAGCATATCCACCTTAAAAATCATATCCTCCTTAAAAATCCTAGAAAGACTTAAGTGGACGAAGCGTATGGGGTGATTCATGCAAGGGGCCTGGGGTAGCCCCAAACCCTCCTGTGTCAATGGGTGACTCTTGCTGTGATTCCCCATCCACCCTGGGGTGGGATGGGGTATCTCAGGAAGAACAGGTTGTAGGTCTCCGGTACAGGTTTCAGCAGCTTCCCTCCTCAGGGCTGCCCCAAACCCTTCCTTCAGCTCCCGCTGCAGGAGCTGAGTCCTGGCTCAGGAAGGATTTTGGAGGGGAGCAGGAGCAAGAGCAACCCAGGCCCCATGCCACATTACCTGCAGGCATTGCGCAGTTTCTCTCCCACTGGGTACGTCCGCTCCTTCTTCTCAAATTCCTCATCGAGGAGGGTGACAGAGTATGCAGCTCTGTCCACCACGTAGCGGGGCCTGGGCTGGCTCATGTCTGGGACATCTACAAGCTTTGGGAGAAGCAGAGGAGGGTAGGATGAGGGGGCATCCCTTCCCAGTGCTCTCCTGGGTTTTCTCTTCTCTGGTCCCTGCCGCAGCTGCTTTATTTTAGCCTTGCCCGCCCCCACCCAGCAAGGTGCCTCCCTTCCCTTGGTCAGATCTTTTCACAAGACTCGTTCCTTTTGGTGGCCTTCCTTCCCGGGCACCGATGATGCATACACTCACTCGTCCTGGTTGTTTTGTTTGGCACCCAGCACGTGGCTGGCACTCCACACCTGTGACATCACCATCACCCCCGCTGAACACCAGGCAAAAAGGAGGTGGGAGTTCAAGGGCAGGAGTCACAGCTGCATTCAGCTGGTCCTTCTCCCTTCATCTCCCTACTCCCTCTTACCCTACCAGGTCTCTGGTGCCCCCACAGGCCACTCTCCCCGCCACCCCCCCCCCCCCCCCCCCCCCCCCCGCACCAGACTTCCCAGGCAGAAAAGCTTGGACCACTGAGCCAGGCAGTTCCAAAGGGAACAGAGAAAGCAGCCTGCCTGGGGGCAGGTGACCTCCAGGTGACCTCCAGAGGACCCTTGTTGGACAAGTTGCCTAGGACTTCTCCAACAGGTTTCCCCAGGGAAGGGACAATGGTGTGTTTGGAGAAGATATGCTGGCTGCCTGCTGCCTCTCCCACGGCTTCCTGTGCCTGAGCTTTCCCCACGCTGTGAGTGGTGTCTCTCAATCCCCCTGGCTCTTTGTGCAACCCAGCTGACATTCCAGGAGCTGAGCTGGGCACAACCACAAGCTAGGGCCCCTGAGGTGCGCGAAAGCTCCCTGGAGGGAACTTTCCTTTCCTTCCTCCCAAAACCAGGAAAAAGGAGGCAGGGGAAAGAGATGGGACCTATTGGCAGGTGGGGAGCATAGAGGCAGCTGTGACTAGTTTGGCCAAGGATTTGAGACGAGGTTGGAGACACTCCAGGTATTGGGGCTAGCCCCTGATGTTATGGGGAAAACCTGGGCCAGGGAAGGAGGCTGTCAGAGGGGAGCAGGTTGGTTGATGCCTACAGGGGAGGGAACCCTGGGGAGAGAGCAGAAGACCATCCCAGGAGTCCTGGAAAGCCAGGTTCTGCTATAGCTGACACGAAGCAGTGGCATTACCTCCCCAAATATCAGTATCCTTGTTGGGAAATGGGGTCACATACCGATTTCACAGGGTCATTGGCAAGATCATGAGCATCAACAGTGTGGAAGATCAAGAATGGTGCAGACATGAGTACTCCATTGTGGATCAACGGTACTCATGTGGGTGCCAACCTGGCCGCTTTCCCCCTGGGGTCCCCCTGGGAATGATGAACCAGGCTGGAATGTCCAGCAAACCCCACTGATGGTGCTCAATGGAAGGCAAGGCGAGGGAGCAAACCAACCCACAGGGTCCCTGCCCAGGCAGTGTTTGTGGAATGAGTTGGTGCTGGTGTTTTGAAGGAGGTGTGGAGGGAATGTGTAGACACTGGCATGTGGGCTGTTGCAGTGGGAGAAACACTGAGAGCAGCCTATGCGAACCAGCCCGGTGCTGAGGCCTATAAATGGGAAACCTAACAGTCCTGGGCAGTTGCTTGGAGGATGCAGGGAGACGTCAGACGTGGAGTGGCCTTTCCTGGTTGCTGGGTGTGTGGTAGTGGCAATGATGGCCTTGAATAAGGTGAGAGGGTGGTCTTCCTCCTTGCACCTGCCCTTTCTCCCTATGGCTCCAGGGTCTGCAGACTCTGGCTGGAAGGGGGCTCATGTTTGGAAGCAGTGAGCACACCTCCCCAGGAGGACCCCAGGGCATGGAACCTGGCTTCAGAGACAGGTTCTGTGGTCTAGGGGAGAGACCACAGGCCGCCATACAGACCCTTTGGGTAGACGTAGCTGGAAGTGCCAAGGGTGATGGGAGCCTTTGTTCCCATGGCAACCAGGAGGCTGTGTCCTAGGTGCAGGTGTCTTGGGCTGCCTCAGTGGGCTGAAAGGTCTGGGTACATATCCATGGGGAGGGGTGATGTTAACACCCTGTCCTTGCTGAACTCCTCTCTCCAAGTTCTCCCACCCCCGATGACCCCCACTTTTTCAAGGGTGACTCTCTTCCTGCCCCCCTACCTTCTGTCTTCCCACTCAGCCCCAATTGCACAGGTTCTTCAAATTTCCTCTGACTGCCTCCTTCCTTCCCCAGGCAGCTCCTTCGCCTCCTTCCTTCCTCCTTCCTTCCTTACCTACCTACCTTCCTTCCTTCCTTCTAGGCAGTTCCTCTGCCTCCTTCCCTCCCTCCCTTCCTCCCTCCCTCCCTCCCTTCCTCCCTTCCTCCCTCTCTTCCTCCCTCCCTCCCTCCCTTCCTCCCTCTCTTCCTTCCTCCCTCCCTCCCTCCCTTCCTCCCTCTCTTCCTCCCTCCCTCCCTTCTTCCCTCTCTTCCTCCCTCCCTTCCTCCCTTCCTCCCCCTCTTCCTCCCTCCCTCCCTCCTTCCTTCCTTTTCTCTTTCTTTCCTTCCTGCCTGTCCTCAGCCTTCAGGACCCCTCCCAGTCTTCTCTCACACCTGGACAACTGCTCTTGATTTCCTATCTGCTGCTCCTACACCTGCATTTCCAGGAGGGCCAAGCCTGGTGCTCGGTTGACCACTGCTGGTTTTCTGACTTCTGACTTTGCTGGGGTGGGCTCAGTGGGTTGTTAGCTGGGACCCTCTGCACCATCCAGGCTGATCTGCTCAGCACCCTGTCACCAAGCTTGAGTATCTGGTCACACTTTCCTCCTAACCCCAGATGCCCTGACTCATTTCTGCCTTTCTAGACCTGCCCATCCTGAGACTGGCTTAGTTTCCTCCTCCTCCCCTCTCCTCCCCCTCCCTCCCTATTTCCCTCACCTCCCCCTCCTCTGTGAGGCACTTCCTGCCCACCCTGGCCCGAAGGGATCTCTCCTTCTCCTCCATTCCTGTCTCTGCCTTGCCAGAAGTGGGAACAGGCTAGGTGTGGAGGAGTCCTTCAGAGAGCCCCAGGTGGGTGACTCAAGCATGTCCCTCCCCCACTCGGCAGGCTTCTGCATGGCTGGGGGACTAGTTTTCCATGGAGGACCCCTGACCTGAGCTAATAGGAGCCATCTTCCTTGCTTTGCTGGAATCCCACAAGGAACCCTTCCCCCTAGTCTCTGCCTGCCTGCCTGCCTGCTGGTGTTGGGAGCTTTCACAATCTGGAGTTTGCACTGTGCAGAGAGGAGAAGGCAGAGGGCAGCAGGTCTCAGCAGGCTTTGTCTGGGGAAAAGACCTCCTTGGCCCAGTTTCTCATTTTTGTAGATGATTCTTGGACAGGGATGGGGGCTCTGAACCTGGCCGAGTTTAGCTCCAGTGCACCTGCTTGCAAGGGGCTCCAGACCTCCACGGCCCACACACAGCCCCTTTTTGGATTAATGCAGCCTCCCTGCCCTGGTCGTGACGGACAGAGCTGCTGCCCTGGCTCCGGGACAGGAAGTGCCCTTGCCATGCTCCCTGCTGCCAGGAATTGAGCTGAGGTGGGGTGGGGCATCCCCCGCCCACCCTGTAAGCTTTGGGGTGGGAGAGGCCAGCAGCAGGAGTGAGCTCTCAGGGTGGCGGGGGAGGGGGGAAAGGGTGTGGAGAGGGAAGGAGACTGTTTCTCGGGCAGGGGTTTCTGGGGCTCTCAGATTGGGGTGGAGGCTAAGTGGGACCCACCAGACTGGGCAACTTGTGATGTTGGTTAGAGCAGGAAGGTGAAAAGGAGCAGAAAGCCAGCCGGCATAGGGCTTGTGACAATTTGATCTCTAGTTAAACAAGCACATAGCCCTGCTGAGTGATGTCAATGCAGCAGGAAAAGTGGAGTGCTCCATTGCCATAGGCGTGTACCCTGTGCCCTGCCCCTCACACAGCCTCAGTCCCTGCGCGGTCTCCCAGCCCCCACTGCATCGGGGATAAATAGCAGGTGCCATGTGACAGTTATTGAGGAACAAAAGGGTGACCCTGCCTCACCCCCATGGGGGAGGATGGGGAAAGGCGGATCCTTTGGGAAACCTGGAGGGGGGTGGGCAGACCCAGTGGGGCTTAAGGGGACTAGAAAGGGAGGAGGGGAGAGCAGAGGTGGGAGCTGCAGGTACGTGGATGGTTCTTCAGCTAGTCTGGGATTGGTGGGGGAGCCAGGGGTCTTACAGCGCACAGGAGCTGGTGGGAGCTCAAGGGTAAACTGTCTCTTCTGGGGTTCCCTAGAATGCACATTGCTCAGCCAGGGCAAGCCCTTTTAGTATCTGAGCTCAACAGGTCCAGAAGTAGGCTTGGGCATGCAGTGAAGTGACCATCTCATCTGAGGGCCTGGTGAGTGCAGTCAGAAGTTTGGACCATGGCTGTTGGCCCCACCCCCACATAATATTCTCTTCCTGGTTGTCACCTCGGGGCTGCTCACCCTTCCTTACTAGGCCTTCCTTTCTCTGGCTGCCCCTAGACCACCAGTCCAGGCCTGACTCTCGGAGACAGGAAAAACTTTTTTTTTTTCTTTAGAAGGGAGCAGGCCATTTGGGGAACCTACCCGTGAGAGGTGTTAGGTCAGGTGGAGGTGATCCTGTCATTGAGGCCACTCTGACTTCCTCCCGGAGCCAAGCCCCGGCGTGCATGTGCGTGTGTGAGTGTGTGTGTGTCGGGGAGGGGGTGTTCTTGGATGCACCTGTGCCAGGCACGGGAGCAAGCCCTGGCTCGGCTGACCCTCCCGGTTGTCCTCTTATCACCAGAGCCTGCCTGGCTGCTTGGGTGTTCTGGGGGCATAGTGGAGAGGTTGTGGAAGAGAAGGTCACTTTGAAGTCTCCCCTCTGTGCTTCACCCTCCGGCTCATCCAGGGTGAGAGCCCCCAGAAAGGATACCCTTGGCGGCAGGGTGGCCATGTGAGCTGGAGACTTGATGGGAGCTCTGGGGTCTTAACTGAGACCCCTGGTCTCTGTAGGAGGAAGGAAGCCGTAGAGGTCCATGCATTCTTGAGCTGTAGCTGAACCT